ACTTTATGGGGGAGGCAGGACTGTCTGGTGCCTCTTCTTTTTCAATCGTGTTCCTAAAAACAGATTTAAAAGGTGTCAATGCTGTTTTTTAAACTTACATCATAGATGTGCCTGTAATATGTGTAAACCTTGCTTCTGTGAATTACATATTCCATTTTAAAATGTAAGAAATTTCATTATTAGTGATCATCAGCTTGAACTGTGTCAGAAGTTCTCCTTTGCTGTTAAAGGGGAATTCCACCGGTTTTAGAGGGGAGATGAGCCTTCGGCCTAAATTTTTTTTAAACATACTCAGGGGAGAAGGGGAGAAGATGCAGGATGTTGTAAATAAAACAGTCCCCAAAGAAAACTTATGTTCTCGCATTGATCACTATTTATAAATATTTCTCACCATTATCAAAATTACACATAAAAACTCAGAAGACACATGGTAGATTTGCGGGTCATGTTGGATAGTAAATAACATGGTTATATCTGTGTCACAGACATCGCGACCCCTGCTTCCTATCACCACCACTATAGAGAAATCAGAAACAGTAGATCTCTCTACAATTCAGCATTTCACATGAAACCACTCAGAATGACTTTGTATATATCTCAACAATAGAATTATTCAGAAAAAAATGGTGGAATGCCCAATTAGTACCATGTCAATCAAATCTGAGGTACAAGCAATAATAAACTGTTAGCCCTGAACCATCTCAGTGTGAGGAACCCTACAGAACTCATGTAAATATGGAGTGATAGTTATTGACAAATCAATTACAAGAATACTATATGCTGGAAAACATCAAATAACATTTTGGATTTGACTTGATTAACAATTTTCAAGAATAAAATAATACATAACAAAAACATTAATGGCATGAGAATAATTGATATGTTAGACAGGAATTTTTCCAGTGACCAATCAAGTCATATCTCTTACTGAACGAAGAGGAGTTATAATAACACAAGTATTACTTATCATCTAAAATGACAGCTGTCAAGGTGCTGGGTGTTGCACTTAAGTGCCAGTCTGGAGGTGTGGAAATAATACCACATGTACAAACACTATATGTCCAAAAGTATCCAGACACCCCATCTAATAAGTGAATTTGTGAACCCTCTTGTGGCTGAATGCAAAAAAAATCTTACAACAATGTTCCAACATCTAGTATGAAGTCTTCCTAGAAGAGTAGGGGCTACTGCAGCAAAAGGGAGGAGGGGGAGGGAGAGGGTGGGTAAAGTCCCCTGTCAATACCCTTAATTTCAGAATAGAATGAATATACAGGAGCCTATAAACCTTACATACAGTTCATTTTGGTGCTTGAGGTCTTGTGTAGCATTGGCTCCAGTTCACGAAGCTTGTGAAGCCCATAGTGGAATGATGAAGAAGTGCCTTTCCAAACACCTTCTGTTCATTTATTTCAATTAAACCTATTTCTGCGAAATAAAACAGAACATGCTAATGTTGTAAATATGGCCCTCGGTTTTCTAAAGAGGCCAACAGAGCACTTTTAGAGAACTTGGGTTGTGTAAGGCCTACTGGTGATGCTAGAAGTCAGTTTGAGAAAAAAATAGCCCTATAGTCTTACTAGACATTAAGTGCCATCTTCTCTCAAACTGCACAAAGGTAAACCTAGTAGTGTTCACGATGACAGGGCAATAACGATGAAGGTATTTTTTTCCCATTTAGATGAAGATGTCTGGTCACATGTTCACCGTTTCTAAGCACTGTGTTAGCTATGAGGAAATCTGTCCGGAAAGTGATTGAGTCGTCTGTCAACTTTGTCTACGGGTAGAAGCTCCTGTACTTCCTCGTTGAAGAGGTTGACAGGGTAACATCTAAGGTGTTTAATGCGGAGTGAATTTATGTGGAGCCTGAGGTACTTTAAGCCACAAATAGGCTTTATTCAAAGCTACGAGGAATACATTTATATTTTACTAGAGATATATAACGACAAGTGCTTTAAAGTGTGATTTAGCTGTACGCCTTAGCAAAGCGTCTCAAACGCGACAAAATGTCCCCTAAAGTTCAGTCAGAAACTCTGTCTAGTTTATCTTTGAATCGTTTTCTTCAAATTTAAGTGTCTGAATAAGGTGGCTATCCTACAGGGACACCTCAAAATACCAACAGTGATATCAGTGAAATCACAGCAAACAACCACTGAAAGGCTCTCAGTGTAAACCAGAGCACTGGATTCCAGACAAAAGCCTCGGAGTTTTCTCAGCCTCTCAAACCCAGCGAGCTTCACCTGATCATCTGTTTTATTAGACCTGACAATATACAGTCTATATGATCAGTCTGTATCTTGTCACACACCGTGTCTAATCAAATTAAAGCAGTTCTGTAAGCACGTTAAGGCGGCGAACTCACTTTTTGGTGTCATTCTTTTTGTTGCGTCTCCAAAAGCTCATCCCAGAGGGGAAAGGGGGCCGTGATATTATCCTGAGGCTGGGGTCCCTGAATAGCCGGGCATTCGCTCCCACCGCACTGTTTGAGTGAGAGCAGCCTGAACAGAGAGGTGAGAGACTCCTGTCCCACAGTGAGCAGGCACTGGAATGGAGCGTCGCGTCTCAGCCGGGTCTTAAAGTCCTCCAGATTCAGCTCAGCTTAAACATACGCACTTACAGTACAGCAGTCAGTTAGCTTAAAGGGACACTGACGAAACGGAAAAAAAAGTATCGGTCGCTAAATCTGTTGTAAACATGCCTACTTGGGTCCTACAGCGGCGCCGCAGTAGCCTCTAAAGTGAGTTTTTCTGCTTGAAGTCTAGAAAACTCCCCTTCTGATGATGCATCCTGAAAGTGTATGGAACGTCAGAGAAACTCCTCTGGGCTAACCTAGCTGGCTATTTATTTTCTCATTAGCTGGTGAATGCAGAAGCTAGAAAGCTAATGCTGCTAGAAAGCCAGATATCTTATTGCATCCCTACTATAACTGTGGTAACTGTCTTAAAATTATCATGGCAATGTTGGGAATGGCTTACTCAAACGACAAAAATATTGGACACCCCTGAGTTACACTAAGGCTAGCTCGGTTGTCATCAGTGGCTAGGCTAACAGTCTGGATTGGTTGACACCACAGGGATACTCAATGGTTGTATCACTGGCATAGCAGAGAGACAACATTGCTGAAGCATGAAAAGGATAGAAAATCGGGAAATTCTCTTATTATTATTAGGGACATAATTCTGCAGTACAGAATACTGCATGACAATTAATTTTAGGCCATAATGCCCCTTTAACATAGTACAGTAGATAAAGCAAGCAAGCCTGTACGGTTTTCTATAATCAAGATGAACTACATGAGCCAGCTTAAAGGACCCACATCTTTTTTTATTGTTCACCAGGTTCCACTTAATGTCCACTTATGTCATTTGTGTAGTTTTATATACCCAAAACAGTCACAATTTATTTTACAAGATCGTTTCCAATTTCTCTTTGTCCCTTTGAATGAAACAAGCCATTCTTGTTACTGTGCCTCTGATCTTGTTGGCTGCCCTGTATGCAGCGCAGGCTCTGTAGAACTGGTACGTTAATGGGCATAGCTAACATTCTGTAGGACGAAAAGAATATATGCAAGTGTGTAAACGTTTTTGTGACTTTACAAAAACAGGGAATTTAAAGCATTTTCTTCCAGTTTAGTTTTCATATGAGGACTGGGTAGTGAAAGGTACATTTGTACTACAGAATTGTTTTCAGACTACATCAAATCCTTTTGTATTTCAAAGCAAAGCTATGAAAGTTTGTTTTTCTATGATGTGGGCCCTTTAACAGTCCAGCACATTGCTTAAGTTAGTCAAGATAAACTTCACAGTATATCACAGTACAGCGCAACCACTGAATAAACCTGTGCAGTTTAAGTCATGCTAAGCCTCACATAGCCACACTGAACTAAATAAGCCTGTTAGCTTAACAGAGTCCAGCAAATCAGCTAAACCTGTACAATTTCACATAGGCCAGCTAAACTTCACAGTTAAACACAGTCCAGCACAAGAACTAAATAAACCTGTATGGTTTAGCAAAGTCCATCTTAGCTAAATAAACCTCTACAGCTTAAAGGGAAATTCCATGATTTTTCAAAAGTTTTTTCCTAGGTTTTGCATAATTTAATGGTTTAAAATGTAAATAAAGTCATTCAGAGTGGTTTAATGACCCCTCCATTATTTGACATCATGCAAGATAATTTTGGGGTGGTTGCTGAGAAGAGTACATAGCTGAGTTGCCAAAAAGCTGTCAGATCATTACAGTTTAATTGGTTCTAAACCCAACATAGAAATGCAGGTGTTTTTTATTACAAGAGTACATTTGAATTGCTGAATGTAAGCTTTAGCTCCCTGATGTTGCCCCCCACCCTCTCTCCGCTTAGCAGACCAGATTTGGAAATGAAAAAGTTTCACATTTCATATATTGACAACATCGAAAAATGGTCAGAGTAGAAGAAACACGCATATAAATTAATAAATGAACTTATATCCCTCTTTTCTTCTTCTATCTCAGTTTCAGTGTCTCTCATAGGAGAGCGGATCATTAGGTTTTGCATATAATTAAGGCTTAAACAGTATGTTATGTACAGCATAATATTGCTCAACACTGAATACACTGTCCTAAATGTATTAAGTGAAGTATTCCATCACCATTAATAAAAACTAATGTTTTCAGAATACATTAACAATACATATTGATAAAGAAGATGGGAAAACTCTGCTGTTGTAATTTGTATTTAACTCACGTTCCCCTCACTGTTACTATATTTCATGAAAAATTCACAAATTCTCAATATTATTATGGCTCTCATCAGATGACAAATTACAACAGCAGAATTTTCCCATCTGCTGTATCAATATGTATTGTTAATGTATTCTGATGACATAGTTTTATCTTTACTAATATATTAGGGTTCAAAGCGAATGTTTTGACCTTTGTTGGGTGCGTTCTGCCAGACTAAAGAGTGACTGGTAAATTCTGATAGGTACCACTGATTAAAGAACACTTCAGCAGTGAACATCATCAATAAAAATCACTTAGAAGATTCATATTTATTCTTTAGATTTAATTACATGTTACTTAACATATTTAAACAATTGTCCCTACTAAAAGGAACACATTTGTAAAGAAATTTAAAAAAATAAAATACATTGAGCCAGTTTTTAAAAGCCTGTAGAGAGCAAGTACATCAGTGGTTTTCAATCAGAAGAATTAGAGGCCTATACATACATACATAAATTCATACATACATACATACATACATACACATACATACACGATTAACAGAAACAGAGAGAATTGTAGCAATGAGCAAGGCTAAGAAATAGAAGCAGTCACAAACAGGACAAGCCCTAGTCTTTACATAGTAAGGAGTGCTAACTGGTGTCTAATGTAATACTTTTGTCTGGGTTACAGGGTAAAATGCCATGTTCATAATGCTCATAAAAATCAATATAAACTGCAAGGCAAAAGTTATATTGGTCAGAAAACGGTCAGTTCGAGTAATATCTGATAGACTGCCTATTCCCTTGTGCTTTTTCAATCACCTTTTACTTTGACCATTAAAATCATCAATCTAATGCAAATATTCAAGTCAAAAAGGACATTCTTAATCCTGTAATATCTGAAAAGTCAGAAATCCATGGCCAAAAAAAGCACTTTCTCTTTACTGACTAATCATCATGCCTAATGCTTTCACATGGAAAGTCTGACTGACAAAAGTGCATCCAATGTCCAAAAAGGGCAGTAGATGCTTCTCACAGTCATTTAAGACTTGCAGACAATGCCCTTGAGGTCAAACCCAAACTTCAGGCACAACGGACACTTTGAAATGCAAACAAGCACTACGCAATCTATCTGTGCCCCGTTAATGGTACCCTACAGAAGTTAGTACACACAGACGACTGAAATGGGTAAAGACAAAAAAGCTACATACTCAGAATTCTTGAATATCCAATTACAGGAAAATTGAAAATCAGTGACCACAAAGTTATCGTAATTTTGGACATAAGTAAACCTTGTTGAGTGTTTTGAAAATGTTTAGTGTGGCAACAACGCTGAAGTCTACTGGGTCTCTGCATAATTAAATGGTTAAGATGTAAAACAAAGTCATTCACAGCAGTTTGATATGTATCTAGAGAAAGCCGGAAAGTCAACTGTTCACAGTGGTGGTGGTGGATACCAGATTTCTGAAGGCTTTAATGCTTCTAAAAGCTACATCACAAAGTTATTGCACTGGTCATTTTGAATTGCAAATAAAATGGCATAGACATCGGTGACCCCTGGTTCCTATCACCACCCCTGCAAAGAAATCAGTAAGTAAGTTTCTCTAAAGTGAACCATTTCACATCAAACCACTCCGAATGACTTACTTACATCAACAATTAAATTACGCAGAAATTTTGAATTCTTTTCCCTTTCATCCTCTCTTGCCTCAGATGGAAACCCCACATAATTTGTCTTAGAGGTTCAAAAGCTTCCTACAGTCAGCATTTCACAGCTTAAGAACACATAGAGCCTAGGTGAGAGGCACTCCTTAAAAGAACTTCCTGGGTGTTTCTTGGTTCCTCCAGATATCAGAACTAAATACACTTTTACTCTTACTGAAAAGGTTCTTTTCAAGTGAAAATGAGTTAAGATCAGTTCATTGTTTTCAAGGCCTACTACCGCTAACGATAGTGTATTGTTCTGCATTTCACCAAGATATTATTTTTTTCTAAAACAGATTACAAGTGCAAGATATGAATATACTGAATTACAAGGTTACAGGCAAACAATTATTATATAGTATATACTGTACAATTACATTCCCACAAATATGTATAAATTGTTATTTCAGCTGTCATACAAGATCTTCAAACAGACTTTCAAAATCACTTATGTGAGGGAACAAGAAGCTTGGAATAGTGTAAAAGTTGTTTGGAAACCAATGATCAGTCCCAAAGATGAGTAGTTTAGCTGTCAAAATGCTCTGATTAGGTTTCGAAGGACACTTACAGCGGGCCAAAATTGAATCCTAAAGGCTTTTTCAACAGACTAATCAGTGGGAACCTCTGATGGAAGGAGTTTAATCATATTTTAGGTCGGCCCCCCAAAAAATATACTTCTGTGCATTTTAACATGCAGCTTTGACAAGATGAGTTGTAATCTAAACTAAATCAGGGCTCAAACTAAATGCATTCTCCATTAATACTGTGGAAAATAATCCAATTCTTCAAGTTACCACAAATGTTCCATGTATGATGGGGCACTTTTATCTGACAATCTTTTCTTCCAACCTCATAGCAGAGTTTACCTCCAGAACGATCACTTTCATCATTATTCACATTGCAAAATATAACCCTTCAGTTAGAAAGACTGGGCTTTTCAGATTAAGATGTCAGACTTAGTAAATGTCAAGTCTTTCCAATATTTTCATACATTTAGCTTGAACTCAAGTTACATAACCCAGTGCAATGTGCAGAGGGAGTTGTGTGTTAATGTGCCAGTGACAGTTCATCATGCTGTGGATTTGATGAATGAGTTAATGGGCAGCCATTTAATCTGACCTTAAAAGCGCACAAAGAACGCCTCAAAGTCAAGCACTGAGGGTTCTCGTCCTTTACCTTTTTACCATTTCTCCCCTAAGGCCCAAACTCTGTCTCAACCGATGCTGCTGTAGGAGTAGTCACTGGCTACATGGACAAAGCTGGGACTGAAGATGGAAAGACTGACAAGTTTTCTGCTAAGAATGGTGGTGTCAACAGCACGTCCCAGCACCCGTAAATTCGGCTCTTTGTCCCTCGTCCCTCCTCCACCTCAGTGGTTGTGTGTCGGGTCCAGCTGAGATCAGGAGAGCTCGGACTTGCTGAGGGCAATGGCCAGCTCCAAATCCTCTTGCTCCTGCTGCGTGAGCCGTGCCAAACGCTCCCTCTCCTCTCGCTCACTCTCCCTCTTCGCCCACTCGATCATGTCCTCCTCCGTAGGGTACTGCTCCACACACACAAAAACCCATTGGAAATACTGTTAAAACCAACATGCAATAACCTATTTTGGGTCAGAGAGCTGTCAGCTAAATACAAATCTGGACCAGTTCGGGTTCTGGAGGCCAGTGTGCAGCACGCTGATTTCCCTCCTCAAACAAGCCTAATTTAAACTCATAGGTTAGAGCAGGGAAGTCACCAAACTGTGCTAAACTCTTGTTCTCCAGAACCAGAAATGATGACCCCTGAGGAACATCAATAATTATAAAACAAAAAGCATATACCATGATGCAGAATGAGAAGGAGCTGCCATCTTCATGCACAGAGAAGTCGATAAGCAAAATTTGAAGAGACTTATAAAATCAGGAATCATGGGCATCTCGTAATCTTTCAGTAAAGCCTTCAGTGAAATGTTACCCTTCAGTAAATTGAGAATGTATAAAATACAAAAAATACAAATACAAAAAGCTGTAGACTGATATCTACTAAAGTTTAGCATGTTTAAAATATTACATAGTCAGGGTTGGATTTCTCTAACAGCACTGCATTTCACAGTCTAGCCTGTAGTGTTCATAGTTTAACACTTTCCACAGGTTTTGGTGATGCAAATACATTTTAATAGAATTGTTCAGTGGCTTTCCTCACAAAGCATTTCCCCCATTTTTCCTCAATGTTCTCCTAACACAAAAATGACCTCCTGAAGGCTTTCACAAGGTATAGAGGGAGGCATCTACATTACGTTTAGAAACTCTAATATGCAGCAAGGCTATACAGTCCAATACTATTTCTTCTTACTTACTGTAAGTTTTTCTAAACGACAAAATATGCAATTTGACAACTGTAACTATTTCACTGCTCTTAGCTCACTTGGATGTCAGAGGTAGTGATGCATTTCTACACTTGATGGCTTTCCAATGCAGCATTATGTACCATAACTTACTTTAATAGCGTGTACTTCACTTTTTTTTGGATGAAACATGCTCCAGGTATCATCACATTATTGCTCTTTTGGAAACTTGGCCCATTTCTATGAAAAAAAAGTAGTCAAACAGCTTTCTCTAATCACCTATCCATTAACAGTTTACAAAACAAACACTGGGACAGTACTGTAATGACAAGTATTTGGAAGCCTATATCTTACTAGCACAGCATATGCACACTTGCTAAAAAAAGTTTTACCAGTTTTTAGTACTAGATATGCTGCATACAGGACAAAACAAGGCAGAAATCATACTGATGCTACAGATTCCAGTAATGACTGGCAGAAAAATCATGTTATAAATGCACAGTGTGCTACAATGCACTGTGGGTCAGTTTCCTGGACATGGCATAAGCCTAGTCTTGGACTAAACTGTAGTGCCAATGGTGAGTCATCATTTTGGCCTGGGAAACTGGCTCTATATAGGGTTGATCAGTGCAATGTAGCGGAATGTAAAAATTAGGATGTTTTAAAAAGCTTCATTACATTTGACTCTATTGCTCCCCACAATCACAACACTGAACAAATTAGTCACTGTCCAAAAAAAAAAAAAAACACAACACTAATCTCCAAAATAGCAAAAAACATTAACTTTTAATACAAGTAAATAAAAGTAAAAAAGACTTAATTCCAAGTAAATTTGGAGCATTTCTGTTGGTACCTTTCATAATTAAATCTTGCTGTGTTCAAGTAATATAGAAAAAACCAGAAAAGAAATGTGGAGATACATGTTTTTTGGGCAGTGCCAGTAAGTTCTTCCTTTTATTTCATATTTATTATTAAAAATATTAAGTAAATATATAAATATAGTAAAATATTAAGAATTAAGAAGAGTAAATCCTAAATACCAGACTATATCCTTAATCCTGACTGCAAGCACAGGATATATTCAAGTATTGGAAAATATTACATTTGTGAAAAAATCCATTATTGTGCTACTTGCTGATTATAGTTAGACCCTTCTTTCCATCAGTTGCCTTTTTTGTAAATTCCACTGTCTGAATACAATATCTGCAAAGGCATTTTCCTCCACAGGACAGTTCTAAAACGCAAGGATTTCAATCAGTCTGAAGTGCCGAGTCACATTTATACCAGCTTTAGGACTGCACGTACAGTAACCATGCTAAGCATGCAGTTCACAGACAGAGACAGGGTTAAAAAGTACAAACGTGGACAAAGTTAAAATGTACACCAAATAAAACACAGGTGTGTTGTTCACATGTATCACATTAAAGACTAGGCCACATACAAAGTAGCCGTCGGCTTTAAAATGACCAGAAACAGACAGGCACTCCTCACCCTCACCTCTCACCACTGAGCTTGTATGCTTCATTTTCAAAGTAATGGAAAACTGAGCAGTGGATCATCAAGTATTCTCATGTTGGACTTATACAAAACTTTTAAACAATACCAAACTAAATGAACTAAAACTGTGCCAGTAACTCATCACTTCACTTTCAATGACTTACTATTGCAAATTTGAATTTATTGAAACACTGTTTATTGGCACCAATTCATCGGATTACAAAAGTGAAAATGATCAAAAATAAAGCTGAAACCATTGCTTTAAAAACAACACAAACAGCAGCCAAGAGATAAGGCTGGCACCCTTATAAAAGATTTTATTGAGCACTTTCTGTAGTTTATAACGCGTACTGATGACACTCTCTCCAGAGAGGGAGGAAGTGGTGAGCATGTGCTAAAGGTGTGCTGGGAGTCATAGGATGCAGAGGGACTGATTTCACAGCCAGGAAGTGCCTGAGCCAATCATAGCTCAGAAAAAGCGTTACATGACAGGAAGTAGGCCAATCATACAGGTGGACACAGATGATTAGTGTGTGCAGCGAGGTGAAGGGAGGGGAGATGAGGGCAGGGCAGGACAATGGACATGCAAGGATGGGCTCAAGCCTTATTCAGAATGGTGGAAACCATGACACAGAGCACTGGTGTAAAATGAGAACAGCCTACGGCGAGCAGCCCCACCTCTCCAACCACAGCTAATGAGAACTTATTGATCATGTTGAAATTAGTATAACACAAGCATACTAGGATAACTTAACATTTGTGCATATACATATACATTTTTTTTAACATAACAGTAAAAAATAAGTATACCGCAATTTTAGAAGAAATTTAAAGGTCTTCATTTATTATTTATATAATACATACATAAGCTGTTTATCTACATACAATAAAAGACAATATATTAACAATGTCCATTATATAAAACTTGAAATGACTCCAGTGTATCGAGTATAGTGAGCAACACCTCCAAAATAAATAGAAACGAGCAGTGCAGATGGAGCGTTCCTATTACTGGCTATTAAGGGTTGAGAGGCAAAGGCTGCTGCTAGGCAGAGGTGAAAAGTGAAAGGTTAATGTTAGGAATGGTTACTGCGTTTCAGGAGGTGGAGAGGGGGCAGGGGAGGTGCTCACTTTGTCAAAGGTGGCAAATCTGTCGGAGTCACGGGAGGCTTGGCAGGGGGCGGAGGGGGCGAAGGGATCCGGCACTGTGTCTTTAGCAGGAAGGGAGGAGAACTCTCCAGAGCTCTGCCCACTGAATGGCCCGCGTCGCTGAAACGACTCCGACGACTCTGACCGGTAGATGTTCGACCGCTTTCCTGTAGGTCACACACACACGTACATACACCATATGTCCAAATGTAGCTGTTGTAAACAAGATGGCCACATATTTGTAAAAGAAGTGAGAGAGAAGAGTTTAATCATCCAATCCATATTAGAGGTCTGTGCAGGCATGAAATTGAAGCCCAAACCCAACTCGTAACCATGACCTTGATGCCCAACCCGATCAGGCCCAAATGGTACTGCTAAACTTAAGACCCGAACTCGACTCGAACCCGCTCAGATGCATGGGGCTGAAGCTTTATTCTTATTTGCCATTAAATTTTCCATTAAAAAAACCTGTTCCACCTTAAATGGTGCAACAGTTGAATTCTGGTGATGACATTTAATGTGGAACTTAAGCTACAAGGCACTGAAAGAGATGGATTAATTGCAGATACCATTTTACAGTACTTTGCATTGTTACAGAGGACATGAGTTGCTGATAAACTGGCAATACACACATCCATATACAATAACAGTATCTGTTATGGAGTTGGTGATCATACCTGCAGAAAACAGCATTCACTCTCCTCTCATGCACTGTTAAAGTTTCTCTACTCGCTACTTTCAGGAATGAGCGTAGCAAATAAGCTGGCAATCTTTGCACTGTTTACAGTGTGATCATGACTAATTAACAGTGTGATTAAGAGAGAGCGCGCAAGAGAGAGAGTGACAGAAAGACAGAGACAGGGAGAGAGACAGGGAGAGAGACAGGGAGAGAGGAGGGAGGGAGGAGGGAGGGAGAGGGAGAGAGAGAGAGAGAGAGAGAGAGAGAGAGAGAGAAAGCACACAAGACAGAAAAACAGGTGTGCGAGTGCCAAAATTTACAAATGTCCTACACTAATAACAATAAAAAATAATAAAAAAAAAAAATTAAAAAATTGATGCAATATCCCCTCTAGACCCTGGGCTTGAGTTGGGTACCAAACCTCTAATCCATATACTAGTATATGGTACTGGTGTGGCTGTAGGTTTTCATTTCATTCCATTCCACCCATCAGGAGCAGACCTTATATAATAAATCAGTTGTGACAACAAGTAGAATTAGGTGTACTTCTGCTTGACTGAATCAAAAACCTTTTCATTTATGCTGCAGGGCCTTCTTGTGATATACAAGACATGACACTGAACTGTAAAAACTAGAAATGCTTTTATGCACCAAGTATGCCACTACAAGTGTGGTATCATATCACAGTAGGATACCAAAACAATATTGAAGCCAGTATTCATAGCCTTATAGTATACTAAAGGGTGGAGGGGGTGTGATTTTTGTGTGAATCAAAAGAAAGTCAATTTGCACAAGCTCCAAATTGGTAAATATCAACAAATCAGCCCACACCATAATATAACATAGAAAGAGAGAAAGAAAGAAATTACAAAAAAGCAAAAGAAAGAGATTCACTTAGTGCTAACCTGGTGGAGGAGGTGGTGGTCTTGTAGGGGTCCCCGTTTTGGGTGGTAATGCAGGAGGCACGTCTGATTGGTTGTCCTCCTTAAATAAATTCTTACTATTTGTGTTTGATGAGGCAAAAGGATCTGTACCGTTAGACTGAAAGGCAAAGGGGAACAATAGAGAATCAGTAGCAGTTCAATCCAAAATGTGTTTTATTCTTAGTCTCCTTTGAATGGTGCAATTTGTCATTAAGATACAGAGTTCAAAGTGGCATTCAGGTTTAAATTAGCCATAATGCCAGACATTCAGTACAATAAGTACAGACAACATGGCTAAAAGTAGACTGGATCAACTATAGCGTGGCTGAACTCCAAAAACCACCTTAGACATACAACATATTTATAATAAACAGTTTTACACTTCACATAATTTTAGTCCTAGTTGGCCTACAAAAAGTACAGCAGAGTGGAGCAAAGACAGACTTAATTTTTCTCTGAACTGCAAAAGGACTTATGAAGTTTACCTTTGCCAGGCTGCTAAAGTCTGCAAATCCTCCTCCAAATGACTCGTTGCCAAATACTGTGGCAAAGGGATCTGAAACACAAACAAGGATTAGCCTAGAATATGAGCAAAATACACAGGCTTTATGGAACTTTTGTTGCATTTTGCAATGTTTATTAATTAAAAAACTCCACTACAGCAACTAAAGCATTAGGACCCAGACACTCCAAACCAACAAAGAATAACTACTGCCAACTAGATCCAACTGTTTGCCCCTGATTCTCCAGTTGAAAAAAAAAAGAAAGAAAAGAAAAAAAATGAAAAACAAATAAAAAGAGACCAACTCTTTTACTGTCAGCAGCTGTCAGTAATCTGTAAAGCTAAACCTGGAGTGTGGAAGTAAACTACTTTGAGTTAAGCACTAGGTTTGATAAAAAAATAAATAAATAAATAAATAAATAAATAAATACACTACTAAAAATGAATATTTGTATATTAAGCAGTGAAATAATGTTCATATGACAAAAAGGTCTGTGAAATGTCTTAGTTTAAGGTAATCTGCTACCAGAGCATTTTTTTCAGACTCCATTTTTTCTCATTGGGAATACTATTTTCAAATACTGCTTGTTCAAATATTCAGACATTCGAATACCAAAAGCAGTTAAATCCCCTCTGACATCAACAAAACATTGCTATTAATACAAGGTACTCTGTGTGTGCCTTCCTGAGAGTGCCATTTGCTTGCTTTGCTCTCTTTCGTTTCTCTCTTCAAGCTAAAATGTCTTACAGCCAACCAATGATGCCAATTCATACTCAAAAGCCTATTTGAGTACTGTGGGTCCAACGACCATCAGTCAGCTTGGTGTGTCAGGGCCCTTAACCATCAGAGAGAACACTGAGCCTCAGACTGAGCCTAGTTGCAGAATTAAAAACACCTTTGAGAATAAAGCGATGGCTGAGGAAACTGTTGATAATGAATGTACCTAAGAAGTGAAAAAAATGAAAGCAATACTGTCTCTCTCCAGCAGATGGCTGTATGTGCTCACCTGGATCTGAATCTGCATTTACTGCTGTTCCTCCTGGAGCAAAAGGGTCATTAGCTGCTGGCGTTATGTCCTTCTGAAAAACAGAGACAATGTTTGAGATGTTACTGTAGCAGGACTCAAAGGACCAAAATCTATTTAAAATGGGAAATTTAAAAAAATAAAAAAAATGAAATTCCCCAAACCCAATTCCTAAAAAAGTTGGGACAGATTATGAAATGCATTTAAAAACAGTAAACAGTGATTCATAAATTCACTTTGACCTCTGCTTAAAATGATAGTATTACAAAGACAAGCCACTTGTCATAAAATCATTTAGCAAAAAGTCCAACTCCTTAAGAACAACATTCCTCAACAAGCATGTGCAAAGATTTTAGATATTCCACCCTCTACGGTGCATAATATTATCAAAAGATTCAGGAAACCCAGAGAAATCGGGATCAGGAATACTTTGACAAACCATTAAAAAATACTGTTCATCTCTGCACTCACAAACATAACTTAAGACTGTACTTTGCACAGGGGAAGCCATCAGTCAACAACATACAGAAATGCTGCTGACTTTTCTGGGCTCAATTTCATCTGAAATGGACTAATGCACAGTAGAAACATGTATTATGGCCTGGCAGGTCAAACTTTCAGATTGTTTAGGGAAATAATGTACGTCGTGTTCTCTGGGCCAGGGAAGAAAAGGACCATCCAGACTGTTACCAGCGTAAAGTTCAAAATTCTGTCTGCCCCATATAGTTATGCAGATGAAGACATTTACAACTGAAAAATTCTTCTTTCAAAACAGGATGAAATGGTGTCTCCAGTCCCCAAACGATTATTAAGGGCTGCTGAAAGGAAAGATGATGTAACACAGTGGTAAACATGCTCCTGTCCCAACATTTTGGAACGTTTTGCAGATATCATTTTTCGAATGAGCATATATTTACAAAAAGACAATTTATAGGTTCACTGTGATTTTGTTCTGCTTTCAATTTCATACAGGTCAAACAGAATTTATGAATCAGTTTTTTCTGTTTTTACTGGCATTTCACATACAGTCCCAACTTTCTTTGGAAATGGGTTTGTAATTTACTGTGACTAAATTTCTGAACATACACATAATTCACTGTAAACCCCTTTTGACAGCATGCCAAATCATCAAACATCACAACACACCCTTAGCTTAATAGCTGAATAACGAGCTTGCTGTTTAAGGGGCTAAACATGATGCAGGTTACGTATTCTACAAAATTGACAAGGATGAAAGAGTGAAAAGTGAGTCAAACTCTCTTTAGAGTTATTAATTTATTTATTTTTACTCACCGCTGGTAGATCTGACCCACCGAACGGGTCGTCCCCTGCTCCAGACGCGGAACTGAAAGGATCCGAGTCTGTATCCATTTTGGATACGAATGGTGCATTACCACTGGAGTTGAAGGGATCTGCTGCAACTGCAGTTCCGGCGCTGGAAGAGAACGGATCGGACCCAGTGGTATTGTTAAGCCGGGAGGAGAACAGGTCTGGTTCTGCAGAGCCTGTGCTTGAGCTGAATGGGTCAGAGGAAGCAAAGGGGTCTCCAGTGGGAAAGGTGGCTGAGGAAGACTGTTTAAAGAAGGTGTCTGTTGCAAATGGATCTGTGCCTTTGAAGGGGTCACCTCCGAAGGGATCTGGACAGTAGAAGAATCAAGCTTTAGTCTGAGGTCAAAATTTCTGCAAAGTCTGTAATTGTTAAGTCAGCACTGGCTGAAGTCAAACCTGCTTACCAGAAATGTCTACTTTTGAGAAGGGGTCATCATCTTTGAAAGGATCACCTGCACAAAAATACAGTGATGAGTGTCACACTGGGAACTCTGGAAACTTAAGATCTGGCCAAGCTGATGAGCGTTTGTGTCTGTATGTAACCAGGTTTGCGTGTCTTACTGTCAGTGAAGGGGTCAGACTGGAAGAATTCATCAGTAGAGGGGCTGCCAGGGCGAGCAATAACAGGCTGGGAGGGCTCTTCCTTCTGTTCTGCTGCTTGAGACTCCACCTACACATCACCCAGTAGGAAAGCCAACTTGAATAGAGTCTTATACAAAAATTTAATGCCTTCCTTTTTTTGAAACTTTTCTAAGTAATGTTGAATTTTCACTAAAATGATTTGAGAGTTTTCTTTTTCCAACTAATATTAAAAGTATGTATTACAATTACTTTGGGTGCTTTAAAAAGTGCTTTAAAAAGCTGAAAGATTTGCATATTGATGAAATGCTGATATCATAACAACGGGATAAAGGGTATGTGGTATGGCATTACTCTTAAAATAGAACTTGTGCCAGTTGTTCTGTCAGTTTTGTAGTTTTTGCAAAGAAAAACTGCTAAACAGCTTTCTATTCAAAAATGTAAGTGTGCTGACCTTGGTTGCGTTGGCAGTGGGCTGCTGCTTTACCTCCTCTTCTGCTTCCTTCACCTCCGACTCCACTGCTGCAGGAGAACTGGTGTTTTCCTGAGAACACCAAAACAGCACAATGTAACCCACTCATTCTCATCCTGTTATACAGTGCTCATTATAGCAGCAGTACATGTGTGAATCTCATCTAATTCAACCCGATTATGATTCTTTCTGAAAATGATAAAGTGCATCATGACATCACACCGCATGACACTACAGTTCTTTAAAATGTATTTATTACAGTGCAGAGTTATTTTTATTTTATTTTTAGGTTTTAAAATTGCCAAAAATCTGAATCAATTATAACTAAGGATGCACTGACATTTCGGCCAGCAATTGTAAAAACTGCACTTTTGGTTTTCAGACAACAGAGAAAAAAGGCAGAAAATTTTGACCAAAAAAAGAAAAAAAAGAAAAAGATTAAATAGGCCCACAACAAAGTTTCTTTCACTTTTCTGCTCCCATCAGTGCAGACATGTTTAAACAGTTTGATCTGCAGTAGCAAATCAACTGTGAAAATGTCAGCTGTGTAGAACCATTTCACTATTTCTAAGAGGGACATTAGACGTGCAATCTGTTCAACAACACCCAACAACGTCTCAGTTATTGGTCGGATACCATTTGAAAACAAAATGTCACTCAATATTCAGAATACAAAACAGCAAAACAACAGAAACAGAAAGAAAAGTCCCTGCAAGCACATCAAGGCCATCTGTAGTCTCAGTTTGTTCCAAAGTTCAGCTTTCATTTCAGTTCATCCAAAAAAGCATTCATCTGATGCACTTTAACACCACATGGGGGTTACAATAAGCCACAGTTTCTCACCATGTGGTTCTGAGGCCAGGCAGTACTGATGGTGCCAGCTTTGGACAGCATGCTGGTGTACAGGTCATCCAGCGGGTCAGCTTTAGGCTCAGACTCTTCAGGACTGGAGGATACCTCTGCTGACTCTTCATCAGGCTGCTCCTCAGTCACCCTCAGCTCCTGCGGCTCATCTGTATTGCTCTGATCTTCCTCATCCTCTTCCTCCTCATCCTTTGGTTTAGTGGGAGGCTGTTCTGTTAGTTGCGGCCACTGCATCTGTTTGGGTTGTTCAGCAGGGGGTGCTGTTCCATTCACAAGCGCAGGCTCCTCTTCAAGGACTTTCCAGGTGAGCTGAGCTGTAACTTCTCGCTCTTCTGTCTTCAGCTCAGTCAGTTGTTCCTGCATCTGCAGCACAGCCCACACAGAAAGAGAGAGAGGGGAAGTGAAAAAAAAAAATAAGAAAACAGCAAAAAACAAACAAAAACAACAAAAATAAAAATAAAAAGATTAAGAAAGAATAAAAGAAAGAAAGAAAGAAAAGACAATGCACACAAAGAACAGGTGGAGATGGGACAGAGAGAAGGAAAAGTATAAGAGAGAGACAGCGTATAGGGTGCAACGGGGAGGAGAGAAGAATGAGTGGAAAGATAAAGAGCGGGAGGGGTGGAGCATGATGAGAGGTATAGTGGAGAGGACAATAATAAAACAAAGGTCTTTCATGTCATTTGAAATAAAATGCCATCAAGGTAAATGGTTTCTTACATAAATCTCAACAGGCTAAACATACTGTACTAACATAGACGTTAAGCGTTTACATATTCTCAAATGCTCTCTTAAGACAAGTAAGACAGGGTGGACAGCGAGCAGACCTGAGCAATCTGTGTGTGTGACTCTGTGACTGCGTCCTGCAGGGGGCAGAGCTGAGCACGGGCTGATCGCACTTTTTCTCCCAGACTGCGCGTTTCCTCCTGCAGATGGAGCAGCTCCTCTCTGGCTCTCACCAGCTCCTCCTCATAGTCTCCAATCCTCTGTTCCTGCTCAGAGTGCTCTGCCTGCAGGGACTGGATCTGAACACACAAACACGACAGCAATTAATAACAATGAGCAGTTATTGTCTATACTGCCACTAATATACTGCCACTCAAAAGTTCGCAATCACCACTGGATGACATACACAAATTTTGCTGCAGCTATAAAATGATTCTAATATATTAGTCCTGTGCAAATAATTAGTAGAAAGCTGTAAAAAAAATTAGCTGTAAAAATGTGAGTGTCCAGAACGATGAACAGAGCTGTATATGCCCCTAAAATAAACAAGAAAGCTGTATAACATCAAGAATCAAGTTAATAATATAAACATCCAGAATACTTCATATTTGAAAATTGGTGCTGAAACACTACGGTATACGGACACTAATTATTGAGTTCAGGTGTTTCAGCCACACCCATTGCTAACAGATGTATAAATCAAGCACATAACCATGCAATTTCCATAGACAAAGACAGTGGCAGTAGAATGGGTCGCAGTGAAGACGCCAGTGACCAAACATGGCACTGTCATTGGATGCCACCTTTGCCACAAGTCAGTTTGTGACATGTCTGCCCTGCAAGATCCGTCCTGATCAAATGTAAGTGCTATTATTGTGAAATTTAAGAACACAGGAGCAACAACAGCTCAGCCACAAAGTGGTAGACCACACAAACTCATAGAGCAGGATCACCAAGTAGCGTGTGGCGCATAAAAATCACCTACCCTCTATTGCATCACTCACTACAGTTGATGAATCACACTTCACTTTCTGGCAGTCTGAAAGATGAATACAGATTTGGCAGATGACAGGAAAACACTGCCTTTTAGAACGCGTAGTGCCAACAGTAAAGTTTGATGGAGGAATAATGGTCTGGGGCTGTGGTTCAGGGTTTGGGCTCGGCCTCTCGGCTCTGGCCAGGATTTGGGAAGGATAATGTTAATTCTACAGCATACAAAAACATTTTAGACAATTATATGCTTCCAGCTTTGCGGCAACAGTTTGGGGAAGGCCCTTTCCTGTTCCAACATGACTGTGGCCCTGTGCACAAAGCAAAGTCCATGAAGACCTAGTTTGATGTGTTTGGTGTGGGGGAACCCTGACCTTAACCCCACTGAACACTTTTGGGATGAACTGGAAGTGCTGACTGCAAGCCAGGCCTTCTTGTCTAACATCAGCGACTGACCTCACAAACGCTTTTTTGAATGACTGTGCACAAATTCCCACATACACACTCCAAAATCTTGTGGAAAGCCATTCCAAAAGAGAGAAGGCTTGTATAGCCACAAGCCAGGCGGGGGGTTGGGAAGGCAACTGCATAATAATACCCATGATTTTGGAATTAGATGCCTAATAAACGCATACAGTTGTGATGTTCAAGTTTCCACATACTTTTGGCCATATAGTGTATATCGAGGCAGATCAGTTGACAACTACATTTATTATTTCATTATTTAGTTGATTTTATTATTTAGTTATTATCAGTTAATAACTTATTATTAAATAAATACTTCACTTGTAGAAGAAAGCATCTAAAACATAGATCGGATATAGCTCGGAACAGCTGAACGACCATTAGTGCAGGGGTTCCCAATCCCTGGTGACCCATTGCTCTGAACATTTTTCAGGCCATGAAGAGCATGTTAATTAGCTGAATTAGTGTGGAATGTGGAAATGTCTAATTGCATGCAATGCGTGGAAGAACATTTTGTAACGTCAGGTCTTTGGAATCCCATAAGCGCATGAATCTGACGTTTGCGAGCATGTTAAAAGAGCATTCGAAGAGAACTCAGTAAAAACTTGAAGGACGCGTCTTGGAGGTGAATTATCTGTTATTGCCATTATATCTTTATCAGCATAATGTTGATTTTGCATTTAAAATTAAACATTAAACATCAATTTATAAGATGACTCGCACACCTTATTTTAGCGTATTTTGTTTTCCTCCAGACTCAGTAATGCTACTTCTTTCAATCTGAACAAAAAAATGTATACATTATTACTTTAAAGTATGGTTCTTATTAAAGGTGAAGGGAAATCCCTAAATAATAAGCTCCTGGTAACCTACAAAAAGAGGTTTTAAGCATCTAAAACATAAAAAAACACTTTACCCTGATATATGCAGAAACTGCCTGACATCCTAATTATACAGTGAAATACATTTTTGGCCATACCGCCCACTAATAGCTATGTATGACGAACACATTAACAAGGAGTCAGCCTCTTCTTCTTAGCTGATAAATGTATCTGATTTTCAAGTCTGAATCATACTTGAAGCATGACTACAAGAGTGACTAGAACTGTGTATGTAAGCCAGTCAGAGCACTGGCTGATTCTTGCTCTCTCTTTCACACACCAGCTGGTTTTCCTGACTGCACTGCTGCCGTATGAGCTTGAGCTGCTCCTCCAGAGATGACTTCTGCTCATCCAGTCTCTCCAGCACTTCCTGCACCTCCTGCCGCTCGGTCTGCAGCCTCCGCAGCTCCTCACTCTCCTTCTGCACCTCATCCTGCAGGTCCTAGAGAGGGAGGGAAAGCAATGAAAGTATCTTGTAATATAATGTAGACGTATAAACCAACTGTATTTAATTGTATGCCTCTTTCTCTGCCTCTAGAGACTAGGCAAACTGGCCAATTTAATTGTGCTTGAGCTCCATTACTGGAAACTGCTTCCAAGCATAAAGGAGTGGCTCAACAGGGCAGATAACTGGCACTGCCATGGCCCTTTAAAGACCATGAGCTAGAGTTTCAAAGATCATTTATGTAGACATGTTTGCTCTCAGCGTGAACAACAAAATTAGTGACTTGCAACAGCTGTTGTAATGTTGTTGTAATGTTGAAGGAATGGCTGGGTATCAAAACTCAAACAATTGTTTAACCAATCAATCACGTTGAGGAATGCTTTAACAAAATCTAACGTGCAACTAAAAATATGGGTGTTTGGCATAACGTTTTGAGAGGATGGCAGCACAACTACAACATTTTATATCGAAAGCAAACATCTGCAAATGATAAGATGGACAACTATTTGGTCTCCAAGAGGAAATGTGATGCACGGCAGAGAGGAAATTACATATGGGTTAAAGAGGACGTGGTGGATGACGACGACTTTTGAGACCTACTGAGGTACACTGAGAGAAAGCTAAGACCGGTCATGGTATTTATGTTTGTTTTAACTTGGACTAGTAATGAGAGGTAAATACACCTTTAGAACTTTAGAATATAGAGTTTTAGAAGATTAGTAGTAATTTCCGGTCAAATAATCATGGACATATAGTTGTCAGCTCCTCAGTTTTAACAGAACCAGAGTCTTCAGCACCACATTCCACAATGCAAACATGGAAAACTTGTAGCATCCATGAGCCAATAAGCATCTACACTGAGGAGTGGCTGTCTAAACTACATTCTGTATGCATGTTATTAACATCAGTGCTTCTTCATTAGACTGTAATTTGCTGCGGTCATTAAATATACCCACTTCCAGCACCTCAAACTGATTTCTGGTTTAAGCCACACCCACTTTCAGTTTGTAATTTAAACAACAGTATCAAAAAAGTATTGTTAAAAAATATGGAAGTTAGTCAAAGTATCGGTACTGGTATCAAGATCAAAAAACGTTTTGAATGATACCCAGCTCTAGTTGAGGGAGAACTCATTTGAGAACATTTGAAGAAAGCTGTTCACCAGGCCACATTTAGACAAAGCACCAAGTTCTCAAACTCTCTCTCTCCATCTGTTTCATTATTCATCTCAGGGTTGCATCTGCCAGCTAAGAGTCTTTCAAGTCTATTAAAAGCTTAAGCATATATTGATTACAGTTAGAATATGAAGGCTTTGTTTTCCAAAGTATGGAGCATTGATCTTTCATGATCCTTCTTATGTACACACTGTTACCATTAATCATAATTTCTCACTGAGAAGATCCCATCAGGTATAGACCTTCATCATATTTAGCAAACAGTCAAGTTGAGCACTGCAATTTGGTAAAGGAGGAGTCACACAATTGCACAGTCAAAACTACACAAATTCCAAATCAAATCCTACTTCTTTGAGTAGAGACTATCTACATTTAACCTGATTAGATCTTTGATTTCAAACACCATCTTCTACACTGAGAGAACATGAACGTGGCTAGCAGACAGTCTGAGAGGAAAGCTCAGCAGATACTAAAATGGTAAGATAATGATGAGAACCAAGCAATGTTCAAACTGCAGATAAAGGTAGGCAAATCTGATTTTGTCTTCCTATGTGTGACAGTTTTGTTTTGCAATGACAGTGTGGAAAGGAAAACACATTGAATCTGACATTTTTCAGTTACAACTGGGCCACCTTCAAATGTAGTGCTGAAATCTGATACATATCTCATATGTGGCAATGCGACCTCTGATTGGCTCAGCCAGACTGGACTTCATTAGGCTTTTACGCCAGTCAAACTCAATATTCATCATAATTTCACACTGGATGCAATAGACCCCTTACAGCAACGTCATCCAAATGCCTGTTACTATGGCTACGCTTCACATGTTTCAATTTGTAGGACAAGCAAGACAAGTGCAGGCAGTGTAAACAATAATAATGCTGTTCTATAACAGAAGGCTTGAAATGGACAGCTATTCAAAACCTACTTTAAGGATACTTTGGGGTCTGTTAATCAGTAACATTTCATAGACGATTTCTCTATTTAAATGGCCTCCACAATTAAAACAAGCACAGACTTTTTTTTATATCAAGTGAAAAGCATCATGTGAAAGACAGAGAACTGCAGTTTTTTGGAAAAGTATTGTTCTTTTGTACATGTGGGTCAGTTCAGAATTCTGACCAGTGTGGGAAGCAAAAAGGAGGAAAAAAAAGTATTTGAGCAATATGTTGCAACTGAGCACTTTTGCTTTTAGAGTGAAAATAGCTTGCAAGTGGCATGGTTTGAAACTATCCAAGAAGAACCCCAGGGAGATGGAGCATCTGTAGCATCAATATGGCTACACAGCAGGGGGACTCGTTCTTTGTCTCCCCATCGCTTTCACTGGTTTGTTGTCAATATTGCTTATTGCAGAAATTAAATGTGCTGGCGCTTTGGCCAGATCTGTTTATACAAAGATATTACATTTCAGAAAGCTAACCAGGATAAAGAAGCACTGATAAACACCCTGTCTATAAGTAAGTGAACAGATTTATTCCAGATGAGATATGAATTAGAAAGACTTCATAAGAAATACTTTATGAACTAGCGGTGCTATTCTATGGTAAGCTTTCTGGCTGTGTTTGCAGTCCCTGAGGAGCAGCAAAAGGCAAATAATCAAGGAACAAAACTATACCACTAAAATTCTTTGTAAAATCTTAAACTGGGAAATATGCCACACTCATGACAGTCACCTCATGTTTGCCAGAGCATTACTTCTTTTAGAGTGAACTCTAAAAAAGTATAAGCTAATGAACCAGAGGTATTTTTTTTTAATGAGAATGAGCCTCACAATATGTAGTCTGTGTACTGTTACTGTGATACTAGCTTTACAATCCAGATTTCAAAGCAGGCTGCAAACTGCAAACGAGGCCTTTAACCAATGCCAATGTAATTTCTGGGTCTTGTGAGCATTTTAACCAATCACAGTTCCACATGACTGTTTCTGTGAGTGTTCTGACAAATTAAGGTATTTAAGGTATTTAAATGTAAATCATTTTAATCAAAATAATGCAAACCCCCCTTTAAGCATGTAACATTATTAATTCACCAGTGATTTTTTTTAATATATTGCTAAGCATATCACAACCGCAATATAGAACAGGAAAGAACAAGGGCTGGCTCTCAAAGCAGCTTCAACAATAAACAATAGAACACCCTCACACATTCTGCGAGTGCTTCACAAAATCCTTTACACACCCTCTCACAGACAAGAGAGAATGTACTCGACAGTGAGTGGAGTCAATCAGCAATCAATCAGTAGTTAATGACAGAAAAGCAGATGCAGTGCCTATGTGAAAGCCATTTGTGATGAACATGTAGTAACTAAGGCCAACTCCAACATTTGGAAGCCATGGTTTTTTCAAAAGATAAAAACTTAAATTACAGACGAATTTCCACACATGCATACATCCTTACCTGCACCTCACTGGTCCTCTCTCTGATGCTCTCCTCCTTCTCTTTGATCTCCTGTTCCACAGAGCTTTTCTCTCTGAAAGACCAGCACAAGCAAGAGTATTTAATCACTGCGGCAATAGAAGGCACTGCCAGCCAGCCGCCCGCCGGCTGCACTGCTTCCCCCTCCAGCACCATGTCTGTATGTCTACTGGAGAGAGTGCTTGTGGGGGGAAGCGCATGTGTGAGTGTTTGAAGGAAGAGGTGCCAGAACTGCACATGTGCAGATGGCTGGAAGTGGGGAGAGAGAGAGAGAGAGAGAGAGGGAGAGGGAGAGGGAGAGAGAGAGAGAGAGAGAGAGAGGGAGAGAGAGAGAGAGAGAGAGAGGAGAGAGAGAGAGAGAGAGAGAGAGAGAGAGAGAGAGAGAGAGAGAGAGAGATGAGTGGGCGCTCCATCCTTAAGGATGACAAAACTGAGCCAACATTTATATAATGCATGTAAGGCAAATTTTCTATGCCCCAATTAAATTTAATTAAAGCCAATAAATAAGTGCCTTAAACAGGAATAGGACATATACAATACAATAATATGAGGGACTTGGGCACAAATGAGAAATGAACAAAAGACCAAAGCTGATTTGAAGGCACTTGGTTTTGATCAAGGTATCTTTCAAATGGCCTAACTGATCAAAACTGGACCTCCAAAAAAAATAATAATAATACAAATAAATAAATAAATAAATAAATAAAGACAAAGAACTCGAACTTGGTTTTCAAAAAAATGATTAAGCAATACAGACAAAATGGGACTCCTGACTACCGTGCAAGACCCGGTAGACCACAAAAGCTGTCACCGCCATCAGACAAACAGTATTTAAAGTTTTCATCATTGAGAGATAGAAAATAAAGTTCTAGTCTAGCTTCAGATTTGAAAAAAAACAGGTGTTTCTGCCTGAGTCTGGAATATATGTAAATTGTAAATGTCAAGAAGCTGTTACTGAGAAAATGAAATAGATAAAACAAGGATATTTGCAAATAAAAAAAGAAGCTGCTGCTGCAAGAAAAATGGGCTGGCCACCCCAGAGTCCAAACCTCAACATCACTGAATCTGTTTTGATTACCTGGATCCTGAAAAGCAAAAAACTAGAAGCAACTAACTTAAGACTGACCTTGCTATGAAGCATGTATGCTGGCAGCTAGAAAATTTGGTTTTTGCTTGTGTTTTTATGCATATAGAAATCTTTATAGATGTTTGACAGATGTGTCACTATGCTACTGACAGACTGTTAGGCTAATTTAGACCAAGCTAAAGAGCTAGTTAAATATGTCTTCACGGATTCACTCAGGATACAGCAGTTGACACAACCGTGTCAGGTTTATGAAATTTAATATCAAATAAATCCATGCGTTCAATAATATCTGGATTTAAACCACTGCTTCATTTCAGCTGCAGTGGAGTTAAAACTGAACTCAGAAAAAGCTCCTGCCATGAGTCAAACTCTCTCTCTCTCTGACACACAGGCTGAGTCAGCCAGACTCCTGGGATTTCAATACAGTAAAAACAGCAAGGGGGGGGGAAAAAAGGGGAAAAAGGGGAAAAAGGGGAAAAAGAGGTTGAGAGGGGTAAAAAGAGAGAGAGAGAGAGATGGAAGAGAAATAGTGCTAGACAGAAATGCACTGGTATACAAAAATAGAGCAAAAAGAGACAAGGTCCTGTAATAAAAGCCTTGGCCACTCATTCAAAATATCCAGCCAAGGACTTACAGTAAGAACAAGGTTAGCCAATAACTCTGCAGCGTCACCGTGTCAAATTCGGTCTAAATCTGTTCTTCTCCTCCTTCCGGAGGCCTTGGCTCCTGAAGAGAAGGAGCATTTGCTTACCTTTCGCTGGAGGTGGCTCGTTGTCGTGGCGACTTAAGGCAATCCCAAACAAAATGCATCATCTTAGTTGTGAGATCCTCTCCATTCTCAATACCTCTGTTCTACCTTTCTTATTGTCCTTTCTTTATTTCCTTCTTGCACATTTCTGTCTGTTCACCACTCTCTTTGTGGCTTCCCCCTTGCTTTTTGTGCTCTCAATTTCTTAGAAAAGGGAAGTAGAAGAGTGAAAAGCATCTGCACTCCCCAACCTCCACCCCCACTTTCCAATATAGTGATGTTGTCAGTGGAAGCGTTAGCCTTGATCAATGACAGGTTCTCCTTTTTCTCAGCGACATGTTTGTGTGAATGAGCATCCCTGCCCAGCTGCTCCTCTCCAACAGTGAGGTAGCGCCGCCCGTCACACGGAATACGAACCTCAGGAGACACACACAGCTCCCAGATGAGAGTGTGTACACAGCTCTCAAAATCTCACCTCTCTGCTTCAATCCAACACACAACACAGTCTCTCACCACCTTTGCCTTTCTCATTTCCACCCACACACAAACTGGGGCTGGGTGTGGATAAAACTCAGCAGCACAATCTACAAATATATGACAGTTTGCAGTAAAAAGTTAATGAAGCCATTCTTGCAGAGTGCTGGTAAATAATGTGGTATAAGCTTAACACAGCTTTGATCAGACCATTTTATTTATTTATTTAAATGTTCTTTCAAAACAGTCTAAAGCACCCAGGAAAGTACTACTGCAGTAGTATATGATGACTGTTTTTATGATTGTTATTTATAAATACAGTTAAATCTAAAAACCAATATTATGCGACATCAATAACTGTATAGACAACAAGAGTGTAACGATACACTCAGCCCACAATGTGGGGGAAAGCATGGTTAACCCCTCAGACCAAGGTCTGTCACTCTCTCTTACAGCTTTCTACCTCGGCAAAGACAAAGAGTAGGAACCCTCAAGACTCAGACCAACCGCCTCATCTGTAGCGTCTTTCCACAGGCCGTAATCTTACTAATAATGACCTTTTTCACATTCCTCCGTTGCACACACTATAATGTACACAGCTACATTAAATATCTTGCTATAATCCTTCTTTTCAATAAATTCAGTCATTTATTTTCCCGAATTTAACATTAAATATTGAGACTTGCACTAAGAAAAATTCCATGTACTAGTATTAGGCGAATAAAGATTCTGATAAGAGGGTCGGACGGATTTCCAATCAGACAAAGGCTGAAGAAAAACACTTGTCTCTTAGCACTTTCATAGCCTGCTGTGCACCTGCTTGCCTACTTGTGTGTCCAAGCGTGTGAGAGAGATTGTGAGAGGGTTCCCACCCACGAGCCTATAAATACCACACACATGCACAGCAAAAGGAAGCTTGGCAGAACAGAAAAAAAAACCCCAGAAAATGCTAAATGGCCTACATGCCAAAGTGTATTATGTGTTATATGTTAAAATATAATAATATAAAAATATAAATATACTATGTATTAAAATAAAATAAAATAATAATAATAATAATAATAATAATAATAACAATAATAATACGACCTCTGCCAAACACAAGAACGTATTTCTGTTTCTCAAATCATGACTTAATTACAGCTTAAATTTCTCACCTCTGCAGGTCCATGATCTCATTACTGAGGGAGTCCAACTCTTTAATGGCAGAGAAGTCTGCAGCCTGACAAGACACAGCGTTATTCTGTCCAGGACAGAGGATGGAGGGAGCAGGAGAAAGAGAAAGAGGCAATAAGACAAAAAAAATAGGGTTATTTAAGCATCAGCCATGCGTTATTTCAAATTAAACAACAGGTTCACATACGTCAAAAACAATAAACAAGTAACTTCAGTTACTACATAGCTAATAAATGTAATTATTAAACTAATTTGCAATGCAAAGTTTTACATACGCCCACGTCTAAAAAGTAACGTAATGGAAAAAAAATTTTAAAAACCAAACAACATATGGGGTTGAAAAAGCAAAGGGATACAAGACAGATCTCATATGCAAAATGCAAGCACTTAAAATAGAAAACTAAGCCATATGTTTGAAGACAGAAGGGCTGGTGATGGAGAGAAACAAAAGACATGGTGACTACAGGAGGCAGACGGAAAGACAGGAGAGAGATTTAACAGACTCACACAGACAGGCAAACTGATAGACATCAGAAAGCTAGAGCCCACATACAAAGGAGATGCATGATTAGTAGAACACAGTGAAACCACCTCAACTTAATATGACTATGACAGCTTGTCTTGCATGGTCCAAAACAATACAATAACAATGTTTATTCTCTAAGTCATACAAATGTCAAATAAATGAAGGTGGTCATAAATGGGAGGAGTATTACCTGTCGGGCTAGCCTGTCAGAGGGAGGGATCATCTCTGGAGAAAGGGTTTGGGGTGGTTCAATACCTTTGGAGAGCTTTTGATTGATTAGATAGAGAGCCAATGCAAACTGCTCTCTGGTCAGTTTTCCAATGTCACCAATGTCACACAGTTCCCTGTAAAGAAAACAAAGCATGTATGAGATAATTATATAATTATATAAATCTGTATAAACTTTTATAATCTGAAGAACAATAGTTAAATGTGGCTTTAAAACACATATCACAGAGACCAAAGATCAATAAGAAGCACCACTCCAGTTTCTGGAGTGCCACAGAACTACACATTGGTTAATATTTAGTGGCTAGCATGATACAATTCTATCAGCTGGTATTAGTAGGCTACAATAGTTGTCATTGTGTTCAGATAAATAAAGTGATCCTTTCTGATTTTCTCAACTGAGTAGCAATTTAACTAAGAACAATTATAGCACACCATGGAGATGTTTCACTGTTCTGTCTCAGTGCACTGAATTTGACAAACAAATGACATGAAATGGCATAGTCTTTCAACTCATCATAAGTCACAGTTCCAAATCACATATGTAAGCCTTTAGGTACTTCATGATTTTTGCTAGGGGTGGAAATCACTTCAAAAGAAAACTTTTATCTAAAAGTTTCTAACTCAAGTTCTTTTTATTAAAGCAAAACAGATTTTGAAAAAAAAAGGCACATGCATCATTTCTTCTCTAATACTGGGTTAGGCATTCATCTGTCTTAATGACAGCACTCATCCTGTCAGGTAAAGATTACATCAGTCACTTGGGATCCTGTCCATAGCCCACTCTTTGTGCTTAATGCAAAACCCAACACTGACATTCCCACATTCCAGGATGACAACTGTAGGATGTCTGTATATGACTGGGCCAACAGACATGATGGAACACTGGAACACTTTGACTGACTCTCATTTTACCCAAGTGGAATGCTGAAATAAATGCACGCAAACTCTGAATGAAATTGCACATTCAGTTTGTGGTAGTGTGGGCTAGAATGCACAGGAATCTCAAGAGACTGGTGTAATCCATACCTGACAGGATTGGTACTGTTATTAAGACAAGGGGACACAAAAAGTATTAGACGATGCATGCAAATAATTTGCTGTCCAGGGAGCTAATTTATTTAGATGCTTTCATTTGTAAATATAACATATTTAAAATAAGCTCACCCAGTTGTTATTACTGTAAATTATATGAATCCAACTCTAAAAAAGTTGGGACAGTTGCAAATAAAAGCAGAAAGCTGTGATTTGTAAATCCACCTTGACCTGTCTTTAAATGAAAGCAGTACAAAAGCACGACATTTAATGTTTTATCTTATGAACTTCACTGTTTTTTTTTATTAAAATATGCTCATTCTGAAACATGCAACATGTTTAAAAACGTTGGGACAGGGCAATTTAAGAACAGAACACTTAAATGTTCAAAAATATTTCAACGGAAGTGATGTAATCACGCTTGGATGTACACGTAGCATCCAGCAAAGGTCTAGTCCTTAATAAGCATAATGGCGCATGGGCTCAGGAATACTTTGACAAACCATTTGTCAAACACTGTTTGTCGCGGCATCCACAAATGCATGTTAAGACTGTACTATACACAGTGGAAGACATACCCCAACAATGCCCAAAAACGCTGCCAACTTCTCTGGGTTCAAGCCCATCTGAAACAGACTGATTAACAGCAGAAACTTGTATTGTGGTCTGATGAGTCAACCTCTCAGCTCGTAACACAGTGATAAACATGCACCTGCCCAACTTTTTTGGAACGTTTTGCAGGTATTATCTTTGGAATGAGCATGTATAAACAAAAAGAATAAAGATCATGGGATAAAACATCAAATGTCATGTTTTTTGTACTGTTGTCCATTTATAACAGGTCAAACAGACTGTCCAATTATGATCAGCTCAACCATGATGTGTGTTAATGCCAGGTGTAAAAGGGCCCTCTTAATCTACCTATTAAAAAATAAAATATCAATTCTTGCGACTTTGAGTAGAAAGTTTCCCCTTACGCCACAGATTTTGTTATCCAGCTTCCTACATCATATACCCCTCAAATCCTATCCAGTGAAGCACAGCTGAAGTCATATTTATGGCAGCCGTTTGTAGGGCTGCCGCGATTAGTCAACGTAATCAATGACGTTGACACAGAAAATGCATTGACATCGATATTTCAAAAAAAATTTTTTTAATTATTTTTATGATTTTACGTTTTTAAGTTCAGTTCAATTCAAATAACAAATGCTTCTCCCAAATACCACTAAGTAAAAGTATAGGAGTACTTCGGATTAGCAAAAAACAAAAAGATGTTTTTTTTTTTTAAACCGCGCAAAGTTTAGATGGCATACCACAGCAGCACTAGCATGATGCATGAGCACCTGAAGAAAAAACACACCATTCTGGATGACTGACTGCCAGAAAAGGCAAAAACCCTGTACTGTCTATTCAAGTTTATTAAATACCATTAGTAAGGAACGCTTTTTAAAATCTGTTGTCCTTGTAGCTGCTACATACACTCTACACTGCTACATATTAAAGCCATAAAGTCATCCACCTGCAACCTTAGACTTTTCACTGAATAAGCGTTTGAGAAAATGTTCCGGCTAGAATCTGGGTTTATTTTATGTTGACTGAGGTGGCAGCGTGTGTGTTTGTATGAGCTGCGCATACATGTACCTTATCTCATTATTTTCTTTCTGCGATTATTTTAAGCACATTTCTTTGCATAGGGAACGCCATAAATAATTTTTTGGAGGAAAATTCATCATTTATACTAACTGACTAACCTATAAAAGAGTCAATAAATTAATCGATAGTAAAATAGTCATTAGTGGCAGCCCTGGCAAGTCACCTCACCATATGCGTGCAAGTGTGGCGGAGGGCAGTCCTGTCTTTAGGAAGATGTCCCTCACCTCTGGACCCGACACTAAGCCATCCATGTCACTGTCTGTCTTAGTGAACAGCTCATCATACTTAGCTTTATCAGCAGGAGAGACAACCCACTACAAAACACACAAAAACACACATCAAGTGAGGTTCAGTTTACGCAATTCAATACACCAACATTTCAGAATAGATTTCGCCTTGTCCAGTCTAATTCAATTTCTTTTAATTAACGCACATCTTAACAAATAGTGAAAATACAAATATTACACAGTTAACTACAGAATTAGAGGCCTTTACTTTCATTGACAGAATAAGCTGTGCTGAAACCCTGTTTGTGTTTAAAACTGTAATCCATATAACTGCTGACCTGTGGCTGTGTGGGTTTAGCTGGTAATGTTTTGGACCCAGAGTGGGCAGAACCTCTTTCTTTGAGTGAAGGAGGTGGCGAAGGGAGGAGGGGCATCACAGGAGTCGGGGTCACCTTTTTCCTTTTTGATGGTGGAACCAGAGAGGGAGGCAGAGCCATTGGCACAGGCTCATTCTCAAGAGCCCTATACACCAAATACATGGCCTTAAACACAGTAAATACAGTGACACATGGATTAAAGTGATTTACACATATTTACCAGCTTAACATTTACGTGCTTTCTGTTAGAGTAAATGTAGAAGGTAACTTTTAACTGAACCAGACAAGTGGCACACCTACTAGTGGTAGTTGCTTTTTCAAAAAAAACACAAGTCATAGTTTTATAGTGTTTCAGTAATTCCAGATCCACTGCTGGGTAAATTAGCAAGCCTCATAAGCAAAGCCTTAGCTATTTCCACATAGTATTCTGAGCTAAAAATGAGCAAATACTGGCTAGAGAAACAAGGGCAGACCAATTTTGAAAGCTGGTAGGCTGAAGCACAGCTCTAAAAATAAATAGAAGAGTGATATTTATGTATGCAGTTCAGTGCTTTAGAGATACAAATCTCTAAGAAGTCTGAGAGCAGCCTTGCCTCACACTTCAATCAAAGATTCTCTTATGTTGGGCTTGGACGCTAAGCGACAAGATGTATTACATTGGTCTGTACTATATTTTTACAATAGCTAGAACCTCAGTCTTGTTTTCATCTGGAATGAAAACGGCTTTTAATCATTAATTGATATAATCTTCAATATCAAACAATCTACTTGCTTTACTTGACACACATTTTTTAATGTTTGTAGTGGTATTTTCAGACATAATCATTGAACATAGCATTTTTTCAACCCTATATTGCTAATGTCTGAACTCAGCACAATCAATTACTATTTAACCAGGATAACATAATGACTGTTTTCTGGCTGATAAAGCTTCAGTCACAAAGCTGTTAAGGACTTTGTTTGTAAAGGGACATGTTAACTCATTGTGCCAAATCAATAACGTTCCAAATTTGTTTTTTTATTTAAAATAGTAACTAAAGAAATATGTTTTTATTAACAACTGATATCAACTAATATTAATTATTAATAATAATAATTGACAAGTGCATAGAGACATCATAGCTAAATAATTAGTTCATCTCATAAATTATTTTAATGCCATTATTCCATTTCTTAGTCTCTTTAAACTATCTGTAGTTAAGACTGAAGTCTAGCGGCTTGTGCGCTGTATGTTGCTATAATATAATCCGTAACTGCAGCCCTCTCGTTTAAATACAGCTTTAAAACAGCAGGTTCTTTTAAACTGCAAATCTTGATAAAACAAAAGTTAGTTCCACTCAGTACGATGTCGTGAATTTGTATATCACTGGAGTACGTCAAGTCTCATGTATCATCTAGAAGCTAAACACACCACTGATGCCTCCCCTATATCAATAATAACGGTACTGTAAGCACTGGCAGACCACAGTATACGGTGTTCACAGGAGACCTATGCATAATTCAACATGGAGCAAGCTGACAAAACATCAGTGAAGCAGAAAGCTCCACAAAACAAGACATAACACAGCAGTATGGAAGTGAGAGGGCTACAATCACAGAATAGTTGGAACAGACACCGATGATCTAACTGAAATTACTTCCATATTTAGGTTCATGGTTACGCACTTTAGGGCAAGCATGTCAAACTGGGAACCTTCCAGGCCAAAATGCTGCAGAGATTAGCATTTACCCTCATCTAATGCTCTGAATTCAGTTCAGGAAGGCCTTGCTATTTAGCTGATGTGCTTGATCAGGTGTGTTTAATGTGGCAGTGTGCTGAAGTCTGCAGTGTTTTGGCCCATGAGGACGGGACCCTGACATCTGATTTTACATCATATGAACCCTAACATGGTTATAACATAACAGGACTTATTTCTGACTACAGATATAACTGTGTAGGCTGTATGACTGTTGATGACGGCTGTAGTTGGCACTGTTTTGGACCTGGTGTGGGTGTGTGTCTGTCCGTCAGCACAGGACTCACCACTGCAAACTCATCTTTGTCCAGCATTCCATCTCTGTCTATGTCACTAAGCTCCCACACCTGCAACATATATTTGATTAAGATTGGTCAACATTGCCACCTGGAGGCTGAAGCCACACATATGCTCCAAACACAGGGCTTAGTTGGCCTTTTAGGAAGATTTAGGCCAATCTTACACAATACAAATCCTGACATACTATACACAAACTGGAAAGCTGGTCTCAGATGCAGTGTGAAAAAAAGATTATAAACAGCACGGCGTAACAGCCTCTTAGTATTAAAATAAGAATGCCTGCTGCCCCTTCTGGCTTACCCTGCCCAGGACATCGACAGGGAGCTTAGAGTTGAGCAGCACCGGTTTGACCTTGTCGCCTGTAAGCATGCCACCCACTGGCGACAGACTGTCGAAGATGGCATCAAATTTCAGCTTCTCCTCTGGCTATACCATAAACACATACACACACACGCACATTATGAGCATAACCACATGCCATGTAAGGTCAGAACAGAATAAACTATGAACAATGATTTTTTTATACAGACAGTTGGCTAACATTATTCATAATCTAATTTATTGTTGTTAACATGTTACTGATATAAAGCCCTCCATGGTTGGAGGCATCTCCAACCTTGACCGCCCATGGGCTGTCAACAGGCACGGCTCCAGGAAGGAGTGGACTGCTAGTGTCCTGCTGGTCAGGAAACAGAAGAAGGGGACATTACAACACACACAACTGGACTCCCGTTTAAACAGGATCTTACTTATGCCACAAAATAGCTGACATGCCATTTTTCTTTCATTATTACTCATCAGGCTTACAGGTTTGAAGCTTATTCAAATTCAAGGGAAAAATGATGACTCAACTTACAAACTTTGGTGGAGGCACAGCCACACTGAGGCTTTTGAGTGCAACTTCGAGGCCATTCTGAGCACAAGCCACTAGTCGCAGTGCAACAAAAAATTGCTAGAAAGAGAAAGATGAACAAATATCACTATCAAATTATCTCAGAAATCAAAAAGCTTCACAACAGCTTAAATCTTCCCAACTCTTTACACAACAAAAAAAGCTTAAGAGTGTCTTTATTAAGACTATTTCAGAGAAGCACCTTACATAAACCTGAAATGATTATTATTATTTTTAATAATCAGCCTCAAATTGTAAAATTTCAGCTTTTTCCATCAGCCTCATGCTACATGCTTCCTAAGACATGCTGTAATAGATTTAAATACTCTTTTATGCCCAGGGTGAACGTCTTGCTAAACAAGAGGGACAAGTAAAAATGTAATACGCTTGTCTTCCTACACATATGTACTCTCCTTTTACCAAAGTGATTTTAATTACTTGTTTGTATGGTGTTTCTCTTGGTATGTGTATTTGACATAGCTGCAAACCAATTTTCCTCTTGCGAGACAACAAAGAACAAATAAAGAAATTATGCTACATTGTTTTGTAGAGATTCCTAACAGAGAAGAGATACCTGTTTGTTCAGAAAGCCTTTGCGTTCTGAATCTGCCAAGTCCCATATCTGAAGGAGAAAATAGTTTATCACCAAAACAGCTTAAAGGGAGCAATATTTCTGAGATAATCACTGTCATCCACAGCCTGCATGACAAAAAACAGTGGAGCCCTGGGTTGAGAACCAAAGATTTTGCTGGTTGTCAAAACAACCACATTTTTCTATATAAGCTACAGGTAACTAGGAATTGCTGAGGTTTACAACTGCACATATTTATCATTATTTTCTATTACATTTTCTGTAAAAGACAAAAGCAGTCAATACTATGGACAGGAGGATATGGAGTACTGATATGGAGTTTAGAGGTATTACGCTCTATGTGCATAGGCATTTTGCCTTTTAGGCTTCATCACTACTCATTGACTGATATGGCTCACTGTCCATTATTAACAACAATCAAACAAGAGCCCATTATTTTCAGATTCAATCAAGAGTGGCCAGAAGAAGCCTTGGCAGCAGTAAAGATTCAGTACATTAAACAATCCTCAGATAAGCAGGCTACAGATTTACTTACAAGAGAATATACTTCTTACCCCATTATTACAAGAATTAAACATATTCCATAGCTAGAGTACATGGTTGACAATGAATTGTTATTAAACAGAGCTAAAGCAGTAGTAATTGCTTCTAGTCACAAATATAAATATCTCTTACAGCTACAGGTAAAAAGAATCATTACAGCAAAGCTACTACAAATGGCTCTAGAAGCACTTTCATCAATATATTGATCTTTACTTCCCACATGCCTATGTGTGCATGTTTGAAGTGCTTATATATGTGCACTGCTATCGACATTACCTTGCCTAGGACCAGGTCTGAAAGGCCAGACCTTTTCAAGAACAAGGCCGCATCGGCGGCTGCTACTCGCCCACTGCCAGATGGATCGACCTGCACAGAAAGAGAGGAGGAAGCAACTGTCACCGTCCATCTTGCTCTTAATGCAGGACTTGTGCATTAACTATTCTAATACAAACGGTAGTTTTTTAAGGGTCAACATGACCGAAATTTCAGTTATTTATAACATTATAATGTCTTATATTGTTTGAAATCATTCATTTCCAAGCAACACACTGCACGACATACTGCAAATATTCAGCAAAATCACATAAGACTGGTACATTAAAAAAAAAATTCAGCCCAGGCTTTAACATTGTCACAGTAAATATTAACAACATGTAACAGCAAGGCAAAAACTAAATTCTGCAGTCATTTATTTGGCCGTACAGGACTGAATTTGATAAATATTGCCTTAAAGCCTTCTTAAATAGTGAACTAAATAATACAACGAAGACAGACTGGTGTTTAGAAACAATGATATATTCTTCCTTTGTCTATATGAAAATTTTATTTTTCATAATTATTATTTGATATATCATTTCCTGCAAAAATATTTCTAAAGGATCACACAAATGCTTTATCGGAAAGCTTGGCTGGAGTGAGCCATTAACAAAGGCACACACAACAAGAAGCTTCAACCACGCGATAATCCCCACAGGCTGCTTCATTCACTAATGTCTCATTATCACTCACTGGTTTGGGTAGCAGCATGAGCGTAGGTCATAACTTATTCAAAGAGGCGTCTTCTTACAGAGAGGACTACTTTCAAAAAGCTCCACATGCAAAGCAGCTCATATCACTGCCTACTCTTTCAAATTTATTTCAAAAATTCAATTTTGCTCAAGTAAATACACATATGTCGTTTCAAACATAAAGTTTGGATGCTTACCTGTCGATAATACTTGTCATAGACAGGGTTCCCACTTGAAAGCTGTATATCAATGAAAAGAAGTTAATTACACTAAGACAAGTCCACAAACGTTCACGTATTACTAAATTTACCAAATAAAACCTACCAAACAGTACAGTATCATCTGAAATTGTGACACTGGTACCAATACCACTATGCTGAAGTTAAAAATAATAACAAATTGATATATTTTTAATTGGTTCTCATCAGAACATTTCAAATAAAGATGTTTTCCAAGTTACAGAACCAGAGTGTCTCAGTCTGAACAGCATAGATTTCTATGTCATTTGACAAGCTGACAAACTGAATCTGGACATTTTTGTCTCACATCACTGACAAAATAAGAGAATTGTAGTTTTGACAAAAATTAAAGTGGAATTTTCTGGATTTTTAATGATTTCTACATAATTAAATGGTTAAGAGGTACACAAAGTCATTAAGAGAGGTCTGACGTGAAAAACACCACTCTAGAGAAACTTACCCAGCTGGAACTGTTTATAGCAGTAGTGTCAAGAACCAGATGTGTTAAATGCCTCTAAAAATTACCTGACTGAAAGTTATTACATGTAATGGTAATGAATATATTGCCGGATGCCTGAGACATGTTTTATGATAGTTTTGTGATAAAGGTACATGCAGGGTCATATGAGGCAAAACAGACCCAGAAAAAATATTTACCAATATTTTAGTATCATCATATATGATTACATGTAAAAGCAGAAGACATTTACCATTTCACATCACAGCACTCTGAAGGAGTCAGTTTACATCTCAGCAAACTATGCTGAATTTTTTTTAAATCTTTTCAGATGTTTCATTAGGACTGATGTAGACCACGTTTGTGAGCTTCTCTCATCTCTGTATGGTACAGACACCACATCAGAATGACAAGAACTTTGATGGAGTTACAAGTTTTGGCCAAGACACTGATTTTCAAAGACATTACATAACTGAGAATAGATTATGGTCACAAATAGATATCGTTTATGATGCATATTTTGCCTATAGCACAGGACACGTTTTGGTGCTTGAAAACATCTATGTGAATTTTGAGAAGCGAGTTTTGGCACTCATCCCTACCAAACAGCCAGAGAGACAAAATATTTTGTTGCAAAAGTCACCCAACACCTAAAGGAGAACAGCAAGGCCATCTGGGAACCAGATGAGAATTTATGATTGTGAATTTGGAATGCTGTTTAACAAAGGCCATACACACACACACACATATACACACACACACACACACACAGTGGTGTGAAAACAGCCTTGCACTGCAGAAAGTAAATCAAATAAACTATCAAACAAAAATATTTACTTTAAAAAAAAAAGGAATGCTAACTTGTGACGTCCAGAGTATTCTTTCTATCCATTCACAAACTGAACCACATGCACACACACCTTTTGTTCAACTTTATGGCTCATAAAGGTAAGGAAGAATAATGCATGTTTGCTCAACTGACCTCAAGGCAGGCCATTAGTCAATCAAATTTCCAAGTTAATCACTTCCCAGTGACATTTCACAAGGATGAACAAAGAAACTGAAAATGATCAGGCCAACTGGATCTTCATAACTTTATAATAACTTTAATAATTACCTTGCCTCAACATAATAATCATATTGAAGTGTCATTCTCCATAGAGGTGAACAATTTGAGGAAAATGTCTCATGTCATTTTTCTGACCTGTATTGCGAATGTGATCGTTTTCTAGAAATTAAGACATGGGCTTTTTGCCCGCCAAGAAGACCAGTCCATAACGTTTTCAAATGTAAGGCTTGAATGCTGAATGCCAAACTGCCAGTTCACTAGCTCTGCACTATTAAGTTAAATTGTCCCACTTGCAACTGGTTAAAACAACAGTGTGAGATATAACAAAAACTACAGCTGTTGCACTCTTTCAAACTGTGATTCTGATATAAAAATGAATAAATGTTCAGCTCAAAAACATGAAAGCACGCAAAGCAACAACTAATCGCAAAGACATCTTCTCAAATCAATAAGTCAAGTAGGTCCAATTTCATTCCTAGTGATCTACCCTCTCGATTTCAGCCTCACAATTCTGTGTCCCATCTACAGTTACTGATGTATATTAAGATGTTGTCTGGCAAAATTCTGGAACCCAAACATTTACTTTTCATACTTGTTCATAATTTATAATTACAACTGCATAATCTGTAGAAACATTTTCCACAACTTATCACAAATGTTTTCTTTCAGTTATGGCAATCCTAATAAGTCAATAAGTGTCTTTAGTAACCATGTAAGTAAGCATGCATAACAATCTAACGGTGAAAATGACTATTACTGAATAATTCCTTTCACAGCATCTCTTTAGTGTTCCATCTGTTGTTGAGCCTTGTCTTGTTTAATAAGACAAATTAACCATAACTTCTTCTGATTGAAACGCCTTAGGGTGCTTCACTAGAATATGTATAATCTCTATAGGAAAGAATTGTCAATAGAATGGAACGCTCTAGAGCAACCACACATGAGCCTAATATCACCATAACCAAGGCCAAGTGTCTGCTAGAAAGTATAAAGCCCCCAACGCTGGGCTGTTGAGCAGTGGCACTGGAGTGATGAAGCAGAATCAAATAGCTTTGGGATGAGCTGGAGTGACATTTGTACTCCAGAACTAATAGTCCAACATCGGTACCTGACCTCTCTACTGCTCTTGTGGGTGAATCCAATGAAATCCTCACAGCAATGGTCCAACATCTAGTGTAATGCCTTCCCAGAAAAGCAGAGGCTGTTAGTGCAGCAAAGTGGGACAAACTCCCTACTGAAAAGGAACCCCACCAAATTTTCTAAATTTCCACATAATTAAGTGGTTAAGATGTAGACAAAAGTCAGAGTGGTTTGATGTGAGATGTTCCATTCTAGAGAAACTTGCTGAGTCAGAACTGTTCACAGTGGTGGTGATAGGAACTAAAAGCTCTAAAAGCTCCTTCACAAAAAAAGTTATTACACAAAATGGTTATGAACACGCTGCCTGACGTCTACTGCTGTGCAATAGTTTGGTCATAAAGTTTTGGCCTAGAACGTCTTGTTAATCCATTTATTTTAATCCATCCCTACCCTGGAGGGGTACATGCAGGGCAAATCTGAGTCAGTAATTTTCTCTAAAATGAAGCATTTTACATCAAACCACTCTGAAAGACTGTTTCCTCCACAACGACAGAATTATGCACAAAAATCCCCTTTAATACACTGCTTTCAGAAGGACCGTTGGATGGGCAGGTGTGTGCAGTCGCGTGGACATGTAGTGTATATGCAACTCTGCAGCATTATGCTGTTTGTATGTCGTTAACTGCCTCTCGCCAAACTCAGCCCCCTAAATAGCCAGCTTCCTCTTCACATAGACTTCTGATATTTCTGTATTTTAAGTCCGACAAAATAAGAATGACGTATACATAACAAATGAAATGTATGACCTTTAATGAAGCATTGGGCTTTCTAAACCGCATGATGGCAAGTTAATTTTTTAAACGTTCCTCAAAAAAAGACATTTCATTGTAATACAGATCTGTGGTAGTTTCACAGCACTAAAGCAACTAGCTGCCAGACAGAACATGCTTGTAGCTTTCAAAATGAGGAACTATGCCTATCAACATAGCCACCTAGGTAATAAACTAACATTACTCCTACAAGTAACGAGCAGATAGCATTGCAGCTTAGGTGTTTATAACTTATGGAAACTCCACTTATTTAACCTAGTTAGCGTGCGTAAAAGACGCCTTATATGACTGGGTTTACACGCAAAAAAGTGAAATAACGCTATTAGCCAACAATTAGCCTAGGAGGGGAGCTAGCCTGCTAGCGACACTACCTTGCAGCGAGGGAGCTAGCTCGCTAGCTAGTCAGCTAACGTTAGTTTACAAACTCGAAAAAACTGCTAACGAAAGTTGCAAGAGATTAAAATAATACAGTTGGGCGACAGAAAACAACATGACACGACTCGACAAAACTTCGACGTCGCTATAAATAGTATATTTATTTATCAAATGCTGACAGACGCATGAGCAAAAAAGCTAGCTGGCTAACAAGCAGATCCTGAACCCAATACTACAGTCCAAAAGCGCTTCCTGCTGCTGTCTCCGTCCTGAAAACTTATGCGATCAAAAAATACAGACATCTGACTGCCGTTCAGTCAGAGCTGACAGCACTGTCAGGGCGATTAGCACTGAGACGGACAAGTTTCTAAACATTTTTGCAAACTTTGCTCACACTGCAAAACCGTTAAGATCGACTTAAAGTTTTCCCAGTTCTACTTAAACGCCTCATTTTGGTCAAACATTTTGCACGTTCTGTCAGTCGGGGCTGAAAGGTCCCAGTGCGATTAAAGTTCTACTTCAAAGCGGGAATAAACCTGTATCGGGTGACCAGATACTGTAAAAACACAAAGGAAAAACTCGAAACCCACCCAGTTCAAAACTGACACAAACTAACCTACGCCCTTCTCGCAGTCCCTAGCTAAGATCAGGCAGCTAGCTCGCTAGAAACTTTTTTCCAAGCAGTGGCTGCAAAAACAACTTCAAACAACAGAGGCCACGGCCGTGTCCAACTTTAAAACTTATTAACGCGCAGCAATCTGATGATACGTTGAAGATAACCGTGAAAAAGTGTGAAAATGAGAGTTAAATTTGTGTTCAGAAGCAGTATTACCTGAGTCAGGGAAAGACTGGCAGCCATAATGTTTCTGTTCCCACTAGTCCATCACCCTGCGCTGCGATAGGCAATGGGGCAATATAGGGATGCTGGAAAACCCGGCGCTGGATCCGCAATGTACTGGAACGACATGCGGAACGCCCACAGTCTACACTGTTGGCTGCAGACGCTGGCCAAAAACTGGCGTGGATTCCTTAAAGAAAAGGAATCAAATTACAAACTCGTTTCACGCTTTAAATTAAAGAGGTAAGGAGCTCATGTTTATATACAGTACGTTTACACGACGACCTGTGAGGTATATTGGTATTATACCGTGTAAAAAGTGGATTTGTGGGTTATACCTGTTTTAAAGGTGGCCTGTTTTTATGTTATTTACCCCACTTCCCAAATAAATATACTGGTTCAAATTATTATTATAGTTTATTTTCATATATTCTTCAGTATTCAACAGTGCTAACGCGTCTCCAACTTCACAATATACTGTGATAACAGGGCGCGACCTGAAGGATGCTACTGCGCTAATACATCGTTGCCTCTGCCCCGCCACCAGAAATTTACGGGAAAGGTGGACCCCAGCTCGGCCAATCATATCAGACGTCGTAAGTTCTAAGCCAATCATATCAGACCTTATGAGTTGTAAGCCAATCATATCAGACCTGGGGGGTCCCTCTGCAAAAGTAACGCGAGTCGGCAAACGCTGTAGCTGAAGACAGGATTTTGGCTATAAAAGCTCACTGAAATAAGTTTACTCAGTGGCTTGTTCGCTAGCTAACTTTGGGTTCATGGCAGGCAAAAAAGCGAATAGGATAACGCTAACATTAGCTAGCTAGCCGACAAGCCAACTAGTTTGAAGAAACTTCACTTCATAGTGAAAGTAATTGTTAACGAGCGACGGAGATAGAAATATTACCATTGACAGCTCTTTATATTTCTCGTCAGTATTTGGAAACAGTGGCACCAGTATTTGCCATATATTGTTGTTTACAGAAAGTTAATGACGGTGAAAAGTTAACCAGGTGTTGATCATAACATCGCAACACAATTTTATATTCCTCAAATCCACAACCTGTATATGGAAATTCTAAGTCATACTAGCTCTGCACTTAATGCAAACTATGAAGAGAAAGATCTACTGGGTGCTAACTGACTAACTTGCCATTTTAGATCATTTTTCTGGCTGTTGCTAATCTAAAAGTTCATAATAAACAGACATTTGGGGCCATTAAAATAAGTTCTCCTTGGGGACCAAGTCCCCAGACCCTGCTAGTACAGGCTTAGCCACCCCATCCATAAACCTCAAGTGACACACCTGAAGGTGTGAATTATGTTGGGAAATGGAACACAGGTCTGCCTTGAACTTTTGATTCCTTTGATAAACGTTTCCAGTCTTAATGTTTACATTGATTTAAAGCTACAACATACCTTCAGCGGTTTAAGGCTTAAAGAGACTTGATTTAAGGCATTCTGAATTAACTGTAAATCAGCTATGGTTTATATTTTTCCCTCATTAAAGTTGTAGAGGTATTGGTATTAAAATTGATTTGAGAATATAAAACCTGTATTCATATTCATTAATGTTAACACAAGCTTCAGTGCTGGTTTGCTAGAGTAAAACTAGGCCTAGACTAAGGAGGAATTTCTGTATATATATTTCCTATCGGAAGCGTATTTTAGCTGAATATTCAGGTTAATTTCTATTTTAGAATTCCCAAACAGTTGGGAAATGTGGCAGTGAATGTAACTTACACATCTAGATAATATGAAACATTAACAAGGACAGTGCTAATCTAACATTCCATCACATTTGTTTGCCATTTTAAAAAAGAATTAATCTATGAAGTGCCCTTAAGTGCACATGAGGGCACGTAAAGGGAAACTCCAATTTTTTAAACATTCTGCATAATTCACATAGATATAAAGTGAGTCATACAGAAAGTTTTGATGTGAAATCTTTCATTGAAGAGAAATTTACTTACTCAGATTTCTTTACAGTGGTGGCGAGTGGAACCAGGGGTCACAATGCTACAACACAAATGTCATTTCATTTGCTATCCAAAAATGACCAATAAATCTACACATCTACTGACGTTTATATGGTGAATTAGCAGTAAATCTGTAAAAATAATCTTTCTTTGGATACCATTTTGTCACACAACAATGTTTAAAGATGTTTTAAGCCAAAACCTCATCTACAAACTATCATAAAATAATGGCTCAGGCAATGTATTAATAACCATTTTGTATGGTAGTTTTCCCATGAGGCAAGTTTCTCTTGAATGGTGTGTGAAACCACTCTGGATGACTTCGTTTACATCTCTGGATAATACAGAAATTGAAAAAATGGGATTATCTTATAAGCATAAAATCTCTAACACTCCACTAGATTCATCTGCTGGTGAGCAAGTGCTCAATGATAACTCAAAGAGAGACACAAAATGAGCAGTAAACAGTATTTGTGTGTTATTATACAGTAGGCCATCGTTCATATCAGACCTCTCTACAACTATGCATTTTTCCCTCAAACACAAAAAAGTACAAAACATCTTAAAAGGGTCAAATATCATTTTGTTTGGTGAAATATGAGGTGTATTGATCAAAGCTGAAATGCAAAGATGGATTCATGTGTGAGCAAGTTACTTTGGGTTACACTTCTGGTATCTTTGAGCAGAGTTGTATTTAATCTCTAATCAGGGCTGAACTTGCTGGCTCATGAAATCAGCTTCACATTATTTCTATCTGGTTTAGTGTACAGCAGTGCATTTTTACAATGGTCAAGTTTGAGAACAGAACTGTGTTAAATTCAGAGGTCTGCAAACAAGTCTGTTAAGATGTCAAACAGTAACAGTACAATTTTATCTTGACTTTGAGGTTAGAGTTGGAAATAAACAAAAAGAATCTACAAAGACTCTCATTCACAAAACAGGCATTTCAAGGATGGAAAGTGGGGAGCAATCTGTTGGAATCCAGGCTGCTACATGCCAATATAACTTAGATCAGATATGCACAGTGATGGAACTGAATGAAGACAAAATGGAAAAAAAGAAAATTCAACTGAACAGTAGTCACAGAGCTTCCTTACATTACAGAATTAGTTGAACTGTTTTTAGAAATGATTTTAGTGTTATCAAACTATTATAGTGTTTTGTGTGAAACCACTCAAATGTCCTAGTCATATTGCATAATGTCCCCAAACCACCACAGTCCTCTGGTGTTTTTTTTTGTAAACACAGACATACAATTTCACCAAACTCATTTGCATTTCATAAAGGGAGACTTCCTCTCAGACCACTTCCTCTTAACACTACTTTCCTGAAAATACAGGGGGATCTGGGACATGCTTGGTGTTACGGTGATGAAGCTTGATGTACAGTTGTTAACATTTCGGTCAAATGTCCAATCTAAGAGACAAAAAGAATGTCCAGCATAGTCCAGTTCTCTGCAACATTCCCCCCCGGTAACAGGAGACAAGACAGTTCTTCATGAGTTCCTCTTTAAATCTACAACTCATCCTTGAGTTTAGAGTCTGTTTCTTCCTCCTCTTCCTCATCTTCTTCCTCTTCCTCTTCTTCATCCTCCTCCTCCTCTTCTTCTTTGTCCTCTTCTTCCTCTTCTGCCTCCTCCTTTGCCTCTTCCCTTCTTTTCTTTTCCTCTTCTTCACGTTTCTTTCTCTCCTCCTCTTCTTGACTGTCCTTCATCTTTTTTTCAGCATCCTGTTTGGGCAGAACATGGTAACGACCAGTCAGTGACCAGTCAAATTACTGCCCACCAGTTCCATTAGTTTAGGCATTGGTTATTTAAGGCACATGAGATAAGTACAGACGTAAGCGCATCAGCTAACACTGTTTTCGATAAAACATCATTGTTATTGATAAAGGGGAATTTCACAGATTTTTCAAAATGTTTGTGTAATTAAAGCATAAGACAAAAAGTGTAGACGTAAATCAAGCCATTCAGAGTGATTTAATGTGAAATCATTCTAGAGAAACTTGCGAGTCAGAATTGTTCACAGTGGTGGCGATAGGAACCAGACATTGAGTTTAACGATTCTAAAAGCTCCCTCACATAAAGTTACTACCTGAAATGGTTACTGCTATCTTGCCTGAAACATTGTTGTTTTTTTCAGTAAGGTTTTGGCTTAAAAAAATTCTAAAAGCTATTTATGCATACAGGTAAGCGTATGGAGTTGTAAGGCAAAATAGTACACAAAGAAAACATTATTTTTTTTCCCCCCAGATTTGCTACCATTTTGTGAGTGTTACACATAAAAAACTCAAGACTCATGGAGGGTCACTGGTTTTGGATAGCAAATAAAATGACTATATTTATGTTGTAGACATTGCGACCCCTGGTTCTTATCAACAGCATTGCAAATAATTCAGTAAGTTCTCTACAGTGCAATTTCAGGTCAAACCAAGCTAAACGACTTCATTTACATCCCAGCGATTAAATTTATAAATTTTGACAATTCAGTGAAATTCCCCTTTGATATGGTTTTCAGGTCAGCAGATTTCCATCCCTGTAAAATCCACACTTTTCACAACAAGAAGTCTTGCAATAAGACATAAACAGAAATAAAACTGTTTCAGTTATTTTGCTAACAAATCACAAGTTTTTCTATACAGAAAAAATGTTTTATTTTTGTTATATTTAAAAAAAATTATCTATATTGTATTCTTTAATTTTACTGGTTTCACCTGTAGTTCTTTTATAAAACCACACGGGGGCACTTAATGCATAATATCTTTTTCTCTCACACTTGGAACATTCTAGTGATGGCCAAAGACGTCAAATATTTAAGCAGGCAGCTTGATCACTCACTGTAAGGTCCACAAAACAAGTATTGTCTCAAATAGTACCATACCAAAAATGGAGGTCATGTAAAGACTAGAAAAAAGTTATTGGTTAACTTTTACTCTTTGCACACGATATTAATGTTCAATACAGGCTTACATTTCAAGTTACAAGAAAATATGCTGACATGTCAATACACCATTTTATATCTTATACAGCAGCACTATAGTCTGACATAAGAACATTATCATTGCTTTAACAGTTTGATATTCAGCTTCTCAGCAACTATCTAGTATATTTTTATTAATGTTTGTAGAGTTGAGATGGAAAGTGTCAATGTAATAGGCATGTTCTTTTTGACCAATTTTAATGGTCAAATACTTTTTATCCACTGACCTAAATTTTAAGAACCATCTGCAGCTAAGAACTTACCTTTGTTGCACCCCAAGTCTCATCGCCAACCTCTTCAGCCAGTTTTGGGTCGTTCGTGATTAAAAAGTTGTCAAAAATGGTGCCAGACTTCACCTAATCCAAAAAACAGTAAAGTAAAATATGTCAGCAAATATAAAAAGATTTATTCAATGGCATAAACAAGTATTCTTCTCTGTATTCTAAGAGGAACACTAAGCACAGTACATGTACCAAAAATAATATAAAGGTCTCCTGAATAGACTTTTGTAAAAACAAAAAAAAATATATATATATCTATACATATATATATATAGAGAGAGAGAGAGAGAGAGTTAAATAGCAACCATACCTGCCACAGGTCCAATCCGATCACACCAATGCTATTGTATTTGTAGATCTCAGGATCGGCAGTATACTCAGGATTATCAATTTCAGGATGCACCCATTTTCCCTTGTAGGAAGGATTGTCAATCTGTTTTGGCTTCCATTCACCCTAGAAAAAGGTAAAAGCAATTCACTATGTTTTCTCAAACCATTTCTGCTGTGCCTGTGCTACAGCTCTGAACATAAAAATCTTTTCCTCTACTCAAAAGATATTTTCGAAAATTACCACAGATGCACTGAATACAGTCTTAAAGTGACATTTAATAATTTCTGCACAGAAAACTTGTTGCAGGTTATTTTCACCATTTATAAAGACACTCATTTCAGAGAGGTAGCAGAAAGGTATCTGTCTGATACTTCAAACAAACAAAGACTGTCAAAGACTTTTCAATGCATTTATAGTTAAGTTCTATAATTGAACAGCTGACTTCCAATATTTCATTTGGGGTTTCTTTAGGCCCATTCTAGGCAGAAACTGCCTCATGATCTATAACCAGTCCACATATTTCTGACTTACGTTATATATGCCTTACAAAAGAATTTAAGGTCAATCTCTGCACACTGTCATGTAAAAGTTAACAGTGGTGTCTCTCTAATTATTATATGCCTTATGTACCTTGTATTCAGGGTTAGTAACCATAGGAGGCTCCCATTCTCCATCCATCTCATCGTCCCAGTCATCAGGCTTCTTGGCATCAGGATCAGGGATATTCTCAGGCTTGTCCCAGTCCTACAGAAAACCACAGAAAAACACAACTTTAGAGAAAAAAACAGGTATTTCAGGTGTACCATTTGAGTAGTGTTACGTATTGTCTAACTTAGCAAAGATCACTTAAGCTATACAAAACAAACATGATGCATGGAGGTGAAATGTAAACAACACAAAACTTGATTTTTCAGTCAAGTGGCAAATGAAAAATCCCCTAAACCTCTGATCTCGGTTCTGATGCCTCTTTTTGCTACTACTAATCAGATGCTCTTTTTTTTTTTAAATGTCTTACCAGATCTGTCTTAAACACATTTATCATTGATAAGTTCAGGTTCCATTCAGTTTCGCTCAGCAACCCACCTCGGGTTTCTTGTCATCGGGATCGTCGATCTTCTCCTTCTCGTCCCAGTCCTCAGGCTTCTTGGCATCAGGATCTTTGATCTTCTTCGGTGGCAGGAAGTCCCAGTCATCCTCCAAAGATCCAGACTCCACTTTCTTGTTGTCAATTTTCACTTCATATGTGTTGTCTGGGTTAACAATCAGTGTGTACAAGTGGGAGTGTTCATCATCCTTAACAAAGACACATTGTAAAGATTACTGAAGTGTTTTTTGCAATGATAAAGATAAGAAGATGGAATGAGAAGAATGTGTGTTTGGTGAAAACACTTTGGGACTGACTTTACCTTGCATCTGATATCTTTGTTGATCAAATGATTCTTGCCCTTGTAGTGGAAGATGACATGAACCTTCTTGGTGCCAGGGCCACAGATATCAGGACCTAAAACAGTTACAGAATTATTTTCTTAACTGTCTTCAATTGTGCACTGAACACAAAACATGCTTATACATTCCATAAAATAAGCTTAAGCCTGAAGTTCTCACCAAACATAATGTTGTATGTGGAATCTCCATGCATTTCTTCTTGTTTGAGGTCTGATGGGAACAGCTTAATGTAGCCTCCTCCACAGTCTATACTCTGCTCATGTTTGACTGTAAACTGCACAACTAGCGGCTGGTCCTTGTTGCTGAATTCCTTGAAGCGGGATGAGAGGGCGTAGAAGTGAGCATCCTGGCTGGTCTGGAGGCCTGTGCAGGAACACAAATCACATCTTACTCATGTCTTACTCTATATTTGACAAATAACAGTGATCAACAATAATACCAAACTTTAAAAATTACACCACCTCACAAATAAAGTAATGTGTTAGAACATTAGAAATAGCTTGTTCTGCAGCATCACAGAGTCTACAGAAGATTTTCAGATTTTACTACTGATTTAGTCAATTTCATTAACTTGAGTACAAAGAGTACAACATAATGATGCCATGAACAGGCTGGATTATTTAACTCATATGTCAAAACAGAACAACACAACTTAAAATTACTGATGTGCAATATATAGACTATACTAGTACACTGCTTTTCATTTTTATATTATAGCAATATATTTGACAGATAACAAGCATCAAAACCATGATTTAATTCTAAATAAATAGCCGTGTTCCTGTTGACAAACGGATCGTTTTCTTTTTTCATTATATTCTCTACACTTTACACAAGATATCCAGGACCTGATAGTTAATCATAATGTCCATCATTTGCTGGGTGCTTCTGATTATGATGAACAGTTCCAACATAAAAACAAAATAAACAGTAGGCTAACATTTACAGTATTGTGTGTCATTTTCAGTGAACAAAATGGAATAGACTAATCAAACCAAGCTATGTCAGCTTTGTAAGACATTTTTTTTTACCATAGTGTAGAAGTTATCAGTAAGCATAAATAAATTTACTGTAATAACCCAAACTTAATTATTATTACTGATGCCCTAAAATCGTGACAAAGTCTGAAAATATCGTCATATGGACTTTTATTAGAATCGCCAGTCACAAACATCAGAATCTCAGTATTCAACATCAAGAGAAGCACAAATCTCACCCTTGTCCTTCTCTGCATCACCATAAAATTTCCCAGCAGACAGCACGAACTTCCCATAGTCGGATTTGTGCGTTGATTCCACCCATCGGCTCTTCCAGGCATCTGCACCAAGACAGAAACACCATCCCCAAATAGGTTTACTTCAGAACACCGATCTGCTTGGCACAGTAACATAGGCTGAACTGCTCCATACTAAACGTGCAGTTATAAACGAATCTGAAGTCAGCTTCTTATTCGAATTTTCCCGTTCCACCTTAAATGGTGCAGCAGTTAAGGTGGAACGGGAATATTCGAACAAGAAGCTGGCGAGCAGGAAGCCAACTTAATCCTCGTCAGTTATGATGCAGGTATTCACTGCTGTTTAAACCACCTGCATCCACATTTCATGACCTGGCATGCAATCATACTAAAACGACATCTCATACATAAACGACACTGTGACCTGTTAAAGCGAGATGTCTAACAGAACAGTGAGCGAGCTACGTTAGCAGCTGCAGCGATGCTCTGCTGGCCAGTGACTGGCTAGGTTAGGTTAACTGAGAGAAATGGCGCTAGCTTAGCGAATGGAATTGAGTAAAAGCATCCCAAAAGCTCGGTGCCTAACTTCATAACTATTCCCTACCATACAAACATCCATTTAATGAATTATGTGGCCTGTTCACATATATTTCACTGTATTGTGAGGACGAAAATGAACACGTTACCTCCATCTTCAAACTGCTCTCGGAAATACACAGACGATTCTGCGGTTATTAAGGCGACCGACGTGGATATAACAAGCAAAAACATCACTGTCATTTTTTAAAATGTATGCTTTTATCAAAGCGCCGGCAAAGATACTAAAGAACAGGTCTATTAGTTTGTAAATAGTAACGTTATAACGCCACCTAATACATGCATTAATGCCGGCGATCTCTCGCTAGCGTGCTTTCTAAAATCAATCGGCAATTCTATCATTTGCAAAGCTTCTCCTCTCGCCTCAGAACAGATGGCCTGCGCTCATTGGTCAAGACGCTCAGAACGCGGCGCTCATTGGACGAGTCGACGTGACGGACCCTGACCAATCAGAATATCCTGTGTAAAGAAATAGGCGATTCGCCTTGGCCAATGCAGTGGCCACGCGTTTAACTAGTAGGAGAAGATGGCCTGAGGATGCCGACATGGAGAAAAGGAATCTCAGTAGTAACATACAGTTATCCAGTCAGAAGGTACTGATGTTCTTACAGCAGCTGCTGAATATATTGTTTATACATTCTTCCCTCTAACCATTTAGTGCATGATAATGAAGTTAATGAAGCTGTGCTGTGATGAAAGGACAAAAAGGCATATTCTTATTTAAATAGACATTTTTTTGTGTCTCTGTAACATAAATTGGACCTGAAAAGACCACTATTTTGACCAAGCTCATGTCCAGAGTATCCAAATGGTAAACAAACATTAAAAACAAACAAACAAACAAAATGATATTTCAAGAAATATTTCTCAAGGGCTTTATAAAGTAGGCTGCAACCATAATAAACAACATCCTGATAAACTTTATTATTTTATTAGGGATCCATTCTGATAGCAGGTGTCTGTATCGGGCTGACATGAGTAGAAAATGCTGGTTTGGATATCAGAGGGTAAAAAAGAATGAATCTGATCCAATCCTGTAACAAATCTAGCCTGAAATAGCACGAATGCGATGTTGTTAGCTGTGTATTTTTTTCTGTGGGGTAGTAGTGTTTGGGTAGTTTCAGCATGATAGCCTAATGTTAGATGTTGATGATATTTGAAGTGCTTTAATTAAAAATGGTTCATTATAGAAAAATACATCAGACTGGTACTCGATGATACTCAAGGTTTCAATAACAGTTAAAAAAAAACTGGAATCATGCCATCCCTGTATTTTAGCAAAAACACATTTGGTAACCTCTTATCAAAACATGCACCCCTGATATAAGATCAAGTGAAAATACACACACCTGCATTCTTCATGCACCTTGGAAAAGTTGTGGCCAAAACCAGTCATTTAGCATTTCCATGCTTCAACAAAACCTTGAACAGGGCAATGTAATGCACTGCAGGTACTTTTCTTTGGAGAGTTAGGAAAGTCAGTCACAAAAATGGACAAGGAACAATTTCAAGTCTCAAAAAGAGTTATATTATATGTAACAGTTAAAATTGAACTCTTCACAAAAGGTTTAGCACTTTCAGCTGGTGACTTACTTAACATGGAGAAAATTATACTGACACAAAAGTCTTAGACCTAAACAATGTTTTAAAAAATGTTAAAAATACACATAATAACAATGATAACCTCATTAAGATCAATGTCAGAGTCTTGAATATACAGTATTATTAACTTATTATTTTAACAAACCAGCATGCAAATGAAAATATTTAAAATGAATTCCTCAACAAGATGCTTGCTGCATATCATAACCAAAATTCCTAAACAGGTTAATGCACTTTCATTTAGAATATCCAAGTTACACATCTTTCCAGCATATTTCATTAATGACAATGGCAATGCAAACACTACCATGCAATTTCTTACCAAAAAAAAGAAAACAATGTTATGTCACAACAAAAGTGCAAATTTGAAAGGAAAACGCGTTAAAGGTGCAAACAGTATAACACCTCCCCACAGGTGTTACAGGTGCTGTATTTTTCCTTTTTCATAGCATTTTTAGGAATTTGTTAAGACACAGGCTGGAAAAGCTAAAATAGAGACCACAATAGCAACGCTGGTAAGTGTTGGTCAATCGCAGTGTTGATCTCTTTTGTTATACTCTATGAACATTAAAATAATTTGTTCTGCCTTCATAGTCTCTGTACTGGCTCACATAACATACACATCAGCACATTAAAGTCACAAAGGGGAAAAGCAACTAAAAGATTCCCTGTACTGCACTGAGAAATGGAAAAAGGCAAATTAAATAAATGTGCAATGAAATGCAAAAGAAGTAAAAGAATAGGCATTCACTTAAGGTCAAGGTAAACTTAGTGGAAAATGATCTTACGTAGTTATGTGTAAGTACTAGGCGTTATGTATAAGTACACAGAAGTTATTTCAGTTACAAAAGTCATTGCAGGGCTCAGTGGTGACAAGCACCAATCTCATCAATATTGTATCTCAGTATGAGATGAATAACCTCATGCTGCATGTTCTCCAATATGTACCCAATATAATAATAAACAGCAGTTATCAGCAGATTAAGATCCTAGTTCTTTCTCAATAGACTTCAGCTTTCAAGTATGCCATAGTTGTTCATGTGAAGTTAGTGACTATGTTAGTCTGTTAAGGTAAAAAGAAATTGATCCGTTGAGGGATGGATTTGCAGCCCTGTGCAGAGAAGAGCTTCTCTTCTTTGGGTACATACAGCATGGCTTTAGCCACCTCATCCAGAGTAGCCTCGTCAGGTTCTACACCACGAGCAGCATACGCATCCCGAGCGCACAGTTTCACATGACGATACTCCAGCGGCAAGAATGGCACAAAGAAGTCAATCAGGTGACCTGACATGAGCTCACTCTGGGCAAATCCTCCTGCAGTCAGAAAGAGAGAAAGAGAGACGCAGTCTAGTTGAAAAACAAGAAAAATTACCGTTTTTTAAAAATCAATGTGAATCAGAAATCATGAAGCATTTTTCTTCCATATGGTGACATATTTCCAAGTGAAACATGGTACCAGGGAGCGTCTCTGAGTTAGTTTTTTGATTTCTCTTGATAAAGCAGTCATATGCAAAAAGTTTAGGCACCTTGGTCAAATTATGTTTTTACATTTTTAAAGTGAAAAGAAGTTAACGCATCCTCTACAGAGAACAAACACACAATTACCATTTTTTTAAATGGATTGAACAAAAAAAAAATCGCTTGTGCAAAAGCGATGGAACATTTGATATTTTAAGATTTTTTTCATTTTTACAAAATACTGGAGAAACAAAGTAGTCCTAAAATATAAAATGTGCCATAACTTTTGCACAGGAAACATTTTTTCTCATAATATTAGGAAAAAAACTTTGAAAAAAATAGAAAATGGATCATACAAATAAATAAAAATAAATCAGCAAATAAACAAACTGTGCACTAGAATTTGCAGAAAATTGTTATATTTAAATTTCTATAGAAACTTATTTTCACTTAGAAAATCAACAATGTAATTCGACTGAAAGTATTCAAACTTTTGCATATGGCTGTAAGCGGGGATGGTGGGAGGGGGAGGTTACACATGATATTTATTAATAGTTTTCCCATGTGCTGGTGCATGGAGATTTAATCAGGTTACATTTTAAAGGTGGTCAAAAGTCACAGATTACAAGAAAACAAACCCTCTGTTTTATAAATGATATGATGAATGCTGCTTAATATGACCAGACACTTTAACTAACAAGAAGAAATTTGGATTTCATGTTGACTTTAAATGTGAGAGCAGGTACCTTCAGCATCCATGGATTCTGATCGTAGTCGATGTTCCAAATCCTCCATACCAATATCTTCTCTGTTCTGTCCTGAGTGCCAAAAGTCCAGAGCTACTTCATTTATAGCAGCACCACCAATATTGCTATAGAAAAAAATGAAATAGATTAAAATAGGTCCAAATACATGATAGTCATTTTGGGGTGTTTTTTTTTTAGTGTTTTTCTTCCCGACACGTCCCTCAGCCTCAGTTTCAAACCAATGCTGAGGAAGATAAAAGCTCTTTTGGCAGAGTGTGAGCACATCTATAGCATTTGCTTTTAAAAATTACAGAATTATAAAAAATGTTTATTAATTAACAAACATGCATCAGTAGCAAAAAACAATCAGGTGTTGTTTTGTGGTAGACATGTCTGAATGGGTTAAAATTTTACTGGCACGGTGATCTGTTAAAAGGTTAAAAAATGCAAATCCTCAGGCTTTGCAATTTTAGTTGCCAGAATGTAAAATGTTATGGCCAGAGACACAATTTTGACCCCTGCTTCCCAGCATCAGTTGTTTTATGTTTTTATCCCATATTAAGCTTTTCTTTAAAAAAAAAAATAATAATAATCAAGGGTGCTATTTTCCATGTTTAAGAGTGTTCATCAATGGAACATACATGACTGTGTCATATATTTAGAATCAGCCTAATTGTTTGAGTGTAGCAAATCTGCTCTCATATCTTATATAATAGCTCAAGTAGTTCCTCTTTGTTACGATGCAAGGGTATGGAAATTGCAACACTTTGCCATATGCAAACTCTGCCCTTGTGCCATTTCCATATCTGCCCTCATACTACTTACTAAACAAATTTTTACTTTTAATTTTTTTTTAATTTTAACTACAAGGCTCACTAAATTTCCCTACAAAGCATCCCACTGCAGAACACAGCATAAAAAGTCTATTAGTTTCATCCAAAGCAGTATTTTTTGGAGTTAAATAAGTATTTTTTTGTATTTTGAAAACTATGTTTTAGGCCAAACACTTATCTAAAAACTACTGTAAAACAATGTCTCATGCATCAAGCAGCTTTTTCATAATCATTTCATGTAATCATGTAATAGCTTTCTGTGAGATAACTTCTAGAAGCATTAAACGTTTCGAACTCATTGTTATCACCACCACTGTGATACCCAAGTCTGACTTGGCTAGTTTCTCTTAAATAGTGCATTTCACATCAAATCATTCTGAATAACTTTATTAACATCTTAATCATTTAATTATGATATATTTTAAATAAGTGGAATTCCCCTTTTACTCCTTAAGACACACCAACCTGAGGAACAGGAATATGGCTCTCCTGTAGCTGACCCCATCAACATTATCATAGTGGTCCATGTAGGGCTTGATCGCATCTATAAGACCAGGGTGCAATTTCTCTGCCTCATCAAAGATGAAGAGAGTCTGTGGGCAGCGGAGCACCATGTCTCTGATTGCCTCCCTCAGCTGGCCCTAAAACACACATGCACACACACACACACACACACACACAAGCACACAAAAGCACACAAAAATGTGACTATGTGTTTTGATAATGTAACAACACAGTGCTGAAAGTATTGATATAGTTTTCAAATCCCACATATCACAGAATCACATTATAGAGATGCATTCTACAAAACACTATATGCATTCTGGCTGCGAACAAAATCATATGGAAAGAATTATATGGAAATCTATGTATGGGATTAGCTGCAACTTTATTGCAGTACTTAAAAAAATGAAAACAACCAATTTTACTTTTCCATGTATAATTCAAAATGTACACACTATAGAAGTTTGGCCAAATGTAGAAGTTACATGGGGTTTGCTATTGTTTTTATCTATATTTATTTTATTTATATCTGCGCAGAAAGGCACTTTGTATTATTGTAGTTGTTTGCAGCAGCCATTACTTTTTCCTTTTGAAATATTTGAAATATTGTTTACACAATGATAAAATTATAACAGCCACTCATGATCACAAACACATACAAGAAAGAACATACATTCACATTTTCTGCAACATAAAGGAGATAAAATAACACTGTTTGCTATGTGAAGTTTACTTGGCATCCAGGTCAGTTGCGTAACTGTATCAAACAGGTGATGCAATCTAGAACGGATCCATTCAACACGTGAGACCTGAACTACTGCCTGTGTTCCAAGAACTATTTACTTTTTTGTGTTTTTTTTTCCCACAGAACTTTTTATCCAATCAAGTGTCAAATTCATGCTGGCACTTTGCTTACTTGGCTACAGAGGACTAAAAGAATGCATGAACATATATACATTTAGCATAAAAGCAGTAAAAGGTCATATTATGGACCTTAGCTCATGGTAATCATGACCTAATGTCCATGCCAAGTGCTCTGCTCACCTTGTACACGTCCACCAGTCTTGTGTGTGGAAAGTGGAACGGAGCAATGAACAGACGCACACACTCGCTCTTCACTCCGTCCCGGTACAGGTTGTCCGCAACCATCCGGGCCACAAAGTTTTTGCCCGTGCCGGACCATCCATGGAAGGAGAGGGTCAGGGGCTTGTTGGACTCTGGGTTATTGATAAAGCCTTGAATAGCTTTTAGAACCACAGACTGAGCCAGGTGCTGCCCATGAAGCTTTAGCTGTAGATCTCGCTCAAGACCTAATTGTGCACACAAACAATACACAATCTCAAAAACATAGTATGATATTTATACATAAATACACACACACACACACACATACAACCCACCCACAAATGTGTGTGTATGTATGTATATATATATATATATATATATATATATATATATATATATATATATATATATAATTCCATGGTATACGTGTGATTGGGATGACAGGGGCGCCATTTAGCTTTAGTCTATGTAACTCCTAACAATTACATTTTTTTCTATTTTTCAGAACAGAATCTTAGAATGCATGAAGTTAATCAATTGAAAACGCTCTTTTACAAAGTTTCTTTGCTGACAATGCTTTAATTGATGATATGGTTTAAAGTAACAGGCCTGAGGTTTTTTTGCAGAGAATTAGCAAATACAAAAAATGTGGTTAACTAGCATCCATGCTAATGACCTGAGGACATCGAGGAGGTTCTAATTATTTACATTTCAAATAAATAATTCACTTTCACTATATAATTTGGGTAACTCCCAAACTCCCAAATTGACATCATTCATCAATATAACGATCTGAAAACAGAGGGGAAAAAAAGAACGAATGTACTGTTCTTCTTCCCATGATCCTCAGGAAATTTGCATAACGTCATTTTGAACATGTGACACTTAGAATAACAGGGTACATTTTTCATTATCTTATAACTCATGAAATGGACCCATGCAAAAGTGATTTGTTGATTATATTTAAAGGTAAAGTGAAATTATTATGAGCTGGGACAGGCAAAAATACTGTTTTCTAAGTGCTGTTAATGTTTGAAGTTAGATTTATCTGAACATCATGCACATAGGCTGTTGTGAACACAAATGGCACCCCATTTGTGGAATCACCCACACATAAAAAGCAATAAACTGACCATGTTCCACACTGTGTACATACGACAGACTGTTACTTATTCATTTGAAAATAAGTGTTTGTTTACCTGTGAGGTTATTAGTAATTCTGCAGTCGCCTGAATCACAACACTGTCCCAGGCTGCAGTACCAAGCGGTCATCATGCCCACGTAATCTTGAGAAAACCAGGACCAAACGTCCCCAGTAGGCACTGAAGAGAGCACGAAGTAAATATGAACATCTGCAGTAATGTTCAGCCTGATGAAAAACTAAGAGCAGTGTATTTTATATTCTGGTAGCTGGTCATATCTGGTTTCAAATGGTCTCATCTGGACTTTGAAGATCATTTGCCAGGGTCTTATGTCATCTAAGATGGTTCTGGAGAGTTTAGTGATGCAGCCCTTCTGGAGCATCTGAATACTGGAGCTAGGTGTGTTGGATATGAGCTCTACAGGGCCAGGATTATGTACCCAGGCTGGTAAATCAGTTTTGGGATGCTAGTAGCCTAATCCTAATCTAACATACCTCATTTACGTAATGACGGCTTTCGGGAACATCTGAACTCTTCAGGACCAGGTTTGGGTTCCCCTTATCTAAATCGTTAAACTCAAACGAAAATACCCACATGCTGGTTAAACAGCTCCAGCCCGTCAGACTTGTTGCCCCCCCCACAACAGGGACGTTTCATTTAGGAAACACTTCGGAAAATGCTTTATAATTATCACTTTTTCAAACGAAAACATGCCATTTAAATCTATTACTCCACAACTAGGCTTTTCTCTGAAGTCCAGCGGTTTATGCAGCCAACACTGGTTAGCTAACCTCGTCAGGCTGGAGAGCTGTGCTCCCACTACTCCTCTGCTGATGCCGAACCAACACAAATCAGATTTTACCTAGGCAGATTTAAGCGAAATCAAATACTTCCGTACCTTGTTGGCTCGTATCGTCCTGGTTCGGCTGACACTCTCCCTCCCAGACATGACAGTAAAGGTAATTGAAGTAGTAGGTGGAAACATTAGAGATGCTCTCAAACTGGAAGAAATCCGCTTTAACCGAGGCCGCCAGCAGCGCGGACAAAATCAATGAGACAATCATCAGGACCGGTACGACTTCAGTCTATCTAATGAAAACAGCAACCTATAATTCTTTTTTATTCCGTCCATCCAGCCCACCCGCACAGGCCGCTGTTTGAGCTCGAGTGGACGTAAAACCGTACCATCAGTATTTACCCTGGCCAGGGAACTACAGCACGTCACATCCGCCATTCCCAGATAACCAGCAAGTCACGTGGTCTTACATGCGTCACTCAGTTAAATACCGGGGTCAACATTATAAAAATATTTGAGAGATCAGTCAGTTCACTAAGCCCCACCCAGCAAAAATACACGACACAGAAGAGGTTTAATAGTTTGTCAAACAAAAAGCATGTTTTATTCAGGAAATAACAACCAAGGAATGACTACATTAACCACCACCGCCCTCCCCTTTCAATCGCTGCAATACAGTAGTGTAAGAGGTTGAACAAAGTTAACTATACAGTACAAGCAAGTTGAGAATTAACTAAGCCTAGTTACCAGAGAGATGAGTAGATCGTTCTAAACTGCATTCCTAGTTGCTGATCTATAAAATAAACCGATTGAGCCTGGTAAAAAGTAACATCCACTCCATTTTACACACAGAGCCTCAAATCCATGTTCTGATGGCCAGATTTTCAGGTTCAGTCACTGGAAAAAAAGGAGAAGCAAGTCAGGTAGGTCTACAAGCTTAGAATAAGTGCCAGTCAACCACTTCAACCTCAGAGATAAATGGAACGGAAAGGGGTATAATCAGTAGATTCATTTGGCAGAATCTCTTCATCACAGGTTGTGTGGGGGGAGGGAAAGTCCACCTTGCAACAACTCACCCTGGCATCTTTAATCTAGTGATGTCAGTCCTTTCTGACCCCAGCAGTCTCTGCCTAATGGACAGAGCACAGTTAGCCACAGAAAGTCAGATTGGTTCTTCGTGTACTGAAACTTGGGTTCATCAGTAAGAGTTTGTCCACATTAGTGTTCAGGTCAGACATTTGTGAACATCACTGAACCCCAACTGTGGGCTATCAGTTGTGCAGAGACCACACTCACCACAAACCCTTTAAATGCCTCGGCCAAGCATGGTCACAGGACATGGATGGTGTCACCTGTCAATGAGCAGACTCCTGTTAGAACAGAAAATACTGGCCATGAGGTCTGTTGGCTCCTAAAGACCATGTCAGCCAGAGCTAATACCCAATCTCCATGGGAAAGTCAATGGACAATAGATCATCATTGTGGTCAGTGATTGCAAATGTACACCACAAGTTAGACACTCACCATTAAGTCATGTTTGTCACAACCCTAGGAGAAAAGACAAAGATTAGAAAAGATTGGTGTTTCATATGTAGCATCAGCATCACAATCTAGATCAGTCAACAAGTCTGTGTCCTCAACAAGATCAGAGACCTGATTCAAAAATCATCCCATCTAGAACAAATCATTCATACATACTACAAACCCAGCAACTTGTTTTACCTTTAGTATTGCCATCCAGAGACAAAGATGTCAGCTTTTACTCTTCATTACTGAAAATGCTACAAAAGGAAAGTTAAATGTCACTGGCTAGCAGAAGCTGTAATCACAAAGTGAATAGCTGTATTTGATACATCAGCTAGGAGCGAAAGACATTGCTCATTGTTCTACATGGGGTTTCTGCTGAACTATGCGGTCATCATTTGCATCATCTCAAAACTACTAAACAACTTTACATTTAACTCACCTTTACAGATGTTTAAGGACAGCTCCATTCCTGCAATGAAACAGCCAAGTTAAGATCTCTACAATGGCACTAGCTTATTCTAAAAATACAAAAGCTGATACGTCAGCTAGGAGCGAAAGACATTGCTCGTTGTTCTACATGGAGGTTCTGCTGAACTATGCAGTCATCATTTGTATCGTTATCATTACTGCTGACTAAATATACACATGCATCTTTACCTTTCAGCCGACTTCATCCCACAGCTTCCTGCTCCAGCCACAGGTCCCCTAGAGCAAGAAGAGAAAACTTAATCCAGAGTACAGATTAAGGAGGAACAGAATAATGCCATTCTACTGTTTCAGTTAAAAAAAGGATTGTCTTTCAGTCTAATTCAGAGAGATTCCCATTGATTTAAATCATCATGAACAGTAGTTAAGCTGTTTGAAACATTTATATAACTAGCACACATGATTTTAGCCTTACCTGTTGACTTAACTGAACCACCATCCTAGGAGAAAGGGGGAAAATTACTTCAAGAAGTTCAGTGACTGAATTCCAGTAGATAAGAACTGTGCCTCAGATAAATACTTGGTGGTTGCTATTTCATCAGCCTTAGGTCAAGAGTAGCAAATAAATGGTCATCACAGGACACATTTTGACAACCCAAATTCAGTGCTCTCTTCTGGATATAAAAAAACATACCTCAAAATACACTTTACTGTCCTTCACTTTGAATCTCATTTCTGGAGGCACTGCAAGCAGAAAAAGAAAGGAAGTTAATCTTAATATTCTGAACTAGTTCTACAAATACAGAAACCCAAAAAGCCTCAGAACCAACTTTTTCAGAAATTGCTTCTGTCCACTACTCTTATTCTTTTTTATTCATCACAGGCTTTGGGGCAATGTATATCTTTAGCTTCAGTATACATACCTCAAGGTCCATTTCCCCATACTCCTTCTAAAAGGGAACTAGAAGGGGAAAAAAAACAAAACCTTGTAACAGCTACAAATTTTAAGTTACACAAGTTTTTCTAAAGGTAAAAGCCTCAGAATATAGTTTTCAGAAAAGGCTCCTGTCCACTACTCTTATTCACGTTTATGCATCAAAGGCTTTGGAGGAGAGAACGGGTGGAGGATGTGAGGTGGGGGAGGAACAAAAAAATCTTGGAGACCACATTATGGCTTAAAGTACTACCATATAAAAGCAGGTGCACAGAAAGTAAAAACTAAATAGATACACTTACCATAAAGCAGATCACGCCAGCAAACTGGAATGCAACTCACAAGTCTGCAAGAAAATGTAAAAGGTCCCGTTAATCCGCGTTGGCCACGTGGACCTCGCCTAAGCATGCTGCAAAACAATCGTTTCCACGCAAGTCAGAAGTGTTGGCATTCATCACCCTTTCTCAGATGTCCCTACCAACATAATTTTCCTCATATGTGCATGGAGAGCAACTTAACCACCACGAAATCGACGAGGCGACGGCAGGACTGCAGACAGATAAACTAGCTAGCTAGTTAGCATGTCAAGGGCTCCCAGCTAGCTTTAATAAGTTAATATACTTAACAAAAATGAATGATTTGTTATAATGCATCCCCACTGTTCATTTAAGCAGCAAACGTAACCCTATTTGTAAAAAAATGCTGGGTAGCTCTGCTGGGCCTGGTCTGACCACACGTGCAAAGGCTGAGGCTGAACTAGCGGCCCGGCAGACTGGTTACAAATAAACAGCGCACTTTTACACAAACTACATCACAAACACAAAAACACAGCTATATCAAGACGTGTAACGCGCAGCTACTTTCCGAAAGCGCGAACTACGTAATACTACACAGAATTACGTTTAAACTTGCAGCTCACCTCCCCACCCGAATCGCAGATGAATGAGGAAGAAAAGAGGGGCGCAGCGGAATTTATACCGCTTGCCGCAATGCTTTGTGGGAAGATTTTCAAACGACGCTGCTCCAAGTCCTCCTCCAAGATCCTACGTAAGATCGCGGAGGTCGTAAATACGACTTGATTTGAGTTCAAGCTGTTTTGGTCGGAAACTGAATAACCGCTCTGGAAATTTTGTTGTGTGTTTTTCTTTCGAGTCCGTTAATGTTGCATTGCCCCAGCAAAACGAAGAGATGGTGCTTATGAGATTAGTAATGTGTTTATTCAGCCTGCAGTGGTCGTGTGTGGCTGCTGAGTAACTGAAGTACAACCAGTTTATAAGACAAGTATCAGCGGCTCCCGTTGCTTTTACTAGCAAATACGGCACTATGGTGGCGTTCATGTGCGCTCATCTCGTAAATGCGATATTCCCGACACGACCTGAAAGCAGCATAAGCCAGCAGCTGGTGGAAGAGACGAAGTGCAGTGAGCTCTTCTTACAGTAGATGGCGCCAAACATCACTGCACTCCATCTGCCTCTGTATGGACTGTTCCTGCACAAGCAGAGAGCATTCATGAAGCTTTACCTTACAGTCGTATGTAAATGTCTGGGCACCCCTGAGCAAATGACATTTTTTTGTTGATTTGCTGAAGTGAGAGTAAGTAAATTCTGCACAGTTCTACACATTTTAATGCACTATTACTGTTCATTGGCTGAATTAAACATTGGAAAAAATATGAAATATGGCCTGTTTTTCCCATTATGATATGCTCAGTAAATAAATAGAAATTGTGCATCAACAACGGCAAAAATGCTATATTTAAGTTAGTTCCCTGTAGAGGATATGTTTTGCTTATTTTTTACGTAGAAAATAAAAAATAAGTTGACCTGGGGTGCTTAAACTTTTGCATACAACTGTATATATGATCTTTGACACAACCTATCTCCTGTTATTTCAACTGTAAAAGATGTTTGTGGAAAGCCATTTTAGTGTTTTGTGCATTATTTGTGTTATCAGAAATTGTTACTCATCACGTAAATATATTCATACTAGTAAAAACATGCCATTTGATTTAAATTCTAACTAGTAAGAATCCAAAGCATTTTCCAAATCATTTTAGTCAGAGGAACTGCATTACTAGCGAAGCATGTATTACAAGAAAAATAAAAATCGTGCTATTAAGTAAAAATACTGCATGTAACTTACACATGTAAAATATTAGTTCTTACGTATAAAATTAGTAAGTTTCTATTTTTACATGCAATGATTGAATCCACACGTGTAACAATTCCGTTTTCACTAGTAAGAAATTAGTTCAAGCATTAGAAATTCACCATGTCAAAATGAAACTTATTTTAACTTATTTTAATTAAGTTACTGTGAAATCTGAATGACCACATGGCAACATTTAATTCATAATAAATTAATTCTAGTAAATACTACTATTGAAATAAATTGGTGAAAAACAAGTGAAAATTAAGGTCTACATGCTCACATACATATCTGTAACTGTAAACTATGTGAACTGAATTGTTTACATTTCAAATTGCATTTTTCACTTTTTTGCTAGTATTCATAACTTTTTTAACAGTATTAATAACATTTTACTTCAAATTGAATTAATAATAAAGAAAGTCTGGATTGCTATAACAGCTCATCGTAGATGCTTCTTCTACCGTGTGGAAACAGGAGGTTTCTTTAAAGACCCATCTTAAACTCTGAATAACCTCATACCAGCTTACATTTATAACCAGCATTTAGCTTAGTCACTGTATTTGTAACAAGGCAAATTTTCCTTTTAAATTTCAGCGTACTAAAAGAATCATAACACAAAGCTGGTCTCATTGAGATTTAATATTATGCATTAATAAACAAGAAAATGGTACAATCAATATTATGTCGGGGGGTGGGATGCTGTTTGGACTGATTTGCAAAGAAACACTGCATAATGCGTGAAATATATGTATATGACAAGGCCTCAATTTCAGATAAATTTACAAACACAACATGAAAAAGTGGCTTTGGAATTGATCATCTTCAGTCAGTTCTCGCTTATATAACCCCACTTAAGACAGTAAACAAAGAAAATTCACTTTGATTTACAGTGGTTGTCCTCCTAGACACCACTGTGCCCATGTAATCACCAAGAGTGCACTGCAACACAGTTGTAGTCCAAGGCTGGATCCTAAAGGCTTACTACAGCATGTCTTTACTCTTAGACAAACAGATCTGAATTATACCTGTGGAATTTTTACAGTGAACGAAACTCTATATGGGCAAAAAATCTTTTTTCATGAATGCTCAATACATGGCTGTTTCATCTAGTTCAACTGTAAAGACATAAAGAAAGAAGGAAAAACAGACAGACAGACAGAGCAAGAGAGAGAGAGCAAGAGAGAGAGCTTTATTGTGGGGCTTTTAATAAGACGATAACCATTCAGTAAATACATGGCACACTGTCCATTATGCATCACTATTCCTATTGACCAGTACTACTTTTAGAATTTATTTGAACTCCACTTTGGAGTGAATTTGTACTGTAGAGCCATACCTCAGTCTCAGATGTAGTGCTCTAGAGCCCTATCAGGGACTTAACAGCATGTCATCAAATCACACCCAAGCAGACAAAAAAGAAAAGTGTTGTCTGAACTGGAATGGACCATCACCATTAACAGTAATGTATCACACTTTCTTCATTCAGATTCCCTCTTCATTTTGATTTTCACTAGTCCTCTTGCATCAGGTAGGTGTGATTTGATGCAAAAGAAGAGTGTGTTTCTTCTTCTGTTTAATGGGTGACAGAGGAAATAAATGGAATGGTTGTTGATTTTTTCAAGTTCATATTGTCAAATCATTACTATTGCCCAAGTTACTGATGAAAAAAAGGAGAATACATATACATATATAATCATAGGTTCTATATATAAATATCTGTAGCTAGCTGTAGGCAAGCCAAGTTATCTCCCATGTTGCGGATCCACCTTTAAGGCCTTTCGAACATCAGAAGATACAGCCTTCAATCCTCAGTCACCTGATTCCCTGAGATACAGAATGCTGTTGTTTTCAGAGTTTGTTCGATTGAAACACCTTGACCCTCTCTCTAACCAACAACTCCTTTGCCCCACCCATCTCCCCAAGCGGGAGAGTGAAAGCCTGTGGGAACAACCCAGAACAAAAGCATTTGTTTGGGTTGCTTAGGAGCCACTAACTACCTCAGTGTTTTTCTGTGATGGTGTTTTTGTTTTCCTTCTTGAAGGGTCGGTGGAGAGGTGGAAGTGGTGAAGTTGGCGAGACAGGAGTATTTTGTATTTGATATTTATTCATATATAGTTCAGTTCTTTTTTTCTGGTTCTTATCATTCATTTTGAAAATGCAAAGCTGTGTAAATGTCCATTCATCAGTCATACCAAGGCTTTAAATGAAAGGTGAATTGTAAAAGAGTTCTTTTCCCAGACTCTGAAACTTCGGAGAGGTGGTACTAGTGCCGTAGTGATGCCATTCTCTTCAGGAGTGGTTCATCATAAACCCAGCACTCGCCATCCTCATGGAACAGCTGCAAGGAGAACAAATAAAAACAAGTATTTAAACTCGACAAATACAATGACATACAAGTTTGGGAAACATTACTGTAAAGAAACCCCTGAATTTTCTTTTATTTAGGACAAATATGGGATATATGCTCAGAAGAGCTCTGTGACTCTGTTTTATTAGTTTTTAAATATTAAAGGTTCTCATCTATATATATATATATATATATATATATATATATATATATATATATATATATATATGACATTTTAAATATTAATATAGCAGCAAGCAAATATTTTCTATGTAAAGATATAGTGGAGTAATAGCATCCTGAGCAAAGAATGAAGTCACACTGCCTCTGTATGTGCCTCTGTAATTAGAGCTTCTGTGCGGTCTGGTACGGCCATGCATTAGTCCCTCCCAGTGAAAACGCTGACCCTCCCCACCTTTAGTTTTGCCCTCCCCAAGAGACAAAGACACTGACCACCCACAGGGCACTGTGCATGCAAGATGGCAGAGTGCAGTAGGAAATGTTCAGGTTAAAGCAATCTTGCAAATATAAATCCCATTTCAGGTGGAATAGGAAAATTCAAGCAAAAAGCTGAGGCACCTGAATATTGCCTTACTGCTGCACCATTTAAGATGGAACAAGAACATTCAAGCAAGAAGCTGAGACACCTGAATATAGCCTAACTGTTGCACCATTTTAAATGGTTTAGGAAAATTCAAACAAGAAGCTGGCGAAAAAGAAGCTGACTTCAGCTTCATCGACATTTGAAAAGCATCAAAAGGGATGAGGAGGTTGTTCTGTCTCTGCTTGACTGGTGGATAACATTAATTTATTCTAGCTGTTTCGCAAAACATCCTGCCTTCCACCCTGTGACTGCTGGGCTAGGCTCCAGTTCCCCCCGCAACCCACAAGGATAAGCGGCTTAGAAAATGTGTGTGTGTGTGTGTGTTTTGCAAAACCAATAGGTCACTATTGTTTTGTCCCGTTTGCTAATGTTTGTGATAACTAATCCCAACTGGTTAGCTTCACAGCAGCAACTGTAGCAATTGGTTGCTAACCCACAACCCAGCTAACGTTAGTTATATTACTTGCTGTGTTGCTGTTCACTTTAACGTTATATCATAATATGTGTCTACAACGATTGCAAAGGGTTTTATGACCACAAAGATAAAAAAGAAATGCCAGCCCAATGTCATTTGCCTTGGCAATGCGCATCTATAAATTTGAGGGGTGGAGTGTCTGAAGAAGCACTGAAAGGAGGGGTGTATTTGTTTTGCTGTTGAGTTCAAATATCAAGAATCGTTCTCCAGAATCATATACTCTGCCTTTAAATTTTCTGTTAAATTCAGCAATTAAACAGTAATTGCGCAGTAAAGTGCAGAAGTGTTCTCTGTGGAGGATGTGCACTTATTTTTACTTTGAAAATCAACAAAACAGGGGACCAGGGGTGCCTGAACTTTTGCATATGACTGCACATACAGCT